GCACTTCACTCCCAGAATAAGATTTTTTTGCTGTTGTTGTTTTGGTTTTTTTTTTTTTTTTTTAGTTTTTCTTTAAGAGTAGAAAAATTTCCTGGGGAAAAGGAATAGGGAATTAGGAATAGCTCCTGAGAGACAGAAGGGATCCTGAATGAGTTGCCAAGGAGCCCACTTCTCAAAGGAAATTTTACAGAGCAATATCACGAGGTAGGTACAACATGGGACAAAATTATGATCATCCAATAAGATTACAAGAATAGCTGCTTAGGTAATATTGATCCAATAGTAGTAAGAGGCCTGTGGATGACGCCATTAACCTTGGTCAATAAGCTATAATCTTAATCTTGTCTTTAGTCTTAGTAGTCATATTCTTCGTGTATGGGAGCGATTGACCCACCCCACCCCTGAGGAGATAATGGTTTCCTTATCCAGGATCCCAGAGTAAGTTTAATAATGGTCTACGTCAGGCTCTTCCTTTCAGTGTTCTCCATAAGATCAATACCTTTTTTTTTTATAATTACTAATGTTTGCTCTAAGTTTTTAAGACTTAAGGCAGAATATTGTTTGTCAGGTTTTTTTTTGTTGGTTTTTTTTTGTGTGTGTGTGTGTGGTATTGGGGGTTGAACCCAGAGCACTGAGCCACATTCCCAGTCCTTTCTTTTATTTTCTGTTTTGAGACAGGGTCTCACTAACTTGCCCAGGCAGGATTTGAACTTTCCGTCCTACTGCCTTAGCACTGCCAGCATACTGGGATTACAGGCCTGTGTCACCACACTGGGCTTATTAGCCTGCCTTGACTTTGTTCTATTTTGTTTTTGTTTTTTGGAGGGGCAGGGTCTTTCTGTGTAGCTCAGGCTAGCCTTGAACCCACTATATAGCCCAGGCTGGCCTTGTACTCAAGTGATACTCCTACCTCAGCCTCCTGAGTGCTGAGATTACAGGCACGTGCCACCACGCCTGGCCTTTGCCTTTGCCTTTGGAACGTACAGAAGCAGAGAGCTTCCAGCAATTACAGTGCTGGTGACCAGGGTAAGCTTGGTAGTCTCCATCTCTCCTGATACATGGTCAGGTAGGCTGCTCATGCTCCTGTTTGTCATTGATCTGTAGGGCCAGGGAAATGCTATCCCTGATCAGCCTTGGGACAGTTGCCTCTGCAGGCTGCAGGGCCTCAGGGCATCCATCTGAAGGCTTTGGGTCGCTGCTACCCACATCACTAGTGTACAGTCACTCTGAGGGAGTCTTCTTTTGGAACTGGATGTCCAGGCATTTTGCAGCTTGCTAAGTGAGACTCTTGGCTTTTCAGTTCTCTCTTCGCCATGTGCCCTGCATTGACTACAGATGTCACTGTGTCCAAACTCAGAGTACCGAGGCTCCATGGGGCTGTGATCCGGAGTAAAGAGAAAAACACAAGTGCTGAACACTTGTCAGGAGAAAGCCCTGGGGGCCAGGACCCCTGCTCTGCTCAGCTGGAGAATTCACCTTGTCTGTGGTTATTTCCAGGTCATTACTGGTGACATCCGAGGGTAGCTGCTGGGGGCCACTGATGTGTAACAGACGTGGTACCTGCTCTGTTAGTGGCACAAAGCCAGTACCTGAGTCTTCGCAGGTGCAGCTCATGCAGCCTAAGTTTCTCTCATTCCTTTGGTTTCAAAGTTCTGAAGAAACTTTGGAAATTATTAGCTACTATTATCATTAAATTATTTAGCCTCAATTTCTACTAATTTTATAGAGAAGTAAAAAAACGGAGCAGTGATTTCTTGTTTTATTTTTTTTATTTTTTTTTTTGTTTTATTTTAAAGAATAAAAGAAGGATAACATAATAATAGGGGCGACTTAGCAAATTACAGACAAAATGGTAGGAAATTATCAATGGTTATCATTTTACATATTATTGTCTACAAAATAGTTTCTCAGGAAAACAAATAGACAAATAATAGTGAGTTAGAGACAAAAGAGGTAGGAGATTATCAAGAGTTGTTGTATTATACTTTGGTATCTTCAAAGTGGCTTCTAAAGAAAATAAATAGAGCTATACATGAGTGACCTATTGAAAAATCATTAACTCTTCTCAATGGTTGTTGTAGGAAACACATAATAATAAACATACATCCATTTATGAAATAGGGTAGGAACATTACAAACTTTACACAGTTATGGATAGATTAGTAGGAAAATATCAATGGCTGCTGTAATACGTGGTGGTATCTTCAGAGTGGTTTCTCAGGAAGACAGAGATATGCAAGAGGGACCTATTAAGGAGTTACAGCCTAAGGGTTGTCAAAAATAGCATATTACCTCCTCACCAGTGACTCCTTTCACTGAGGTATGATGGCTGGAAGGAAGGCCAGGATTGAAAAGAAGGACCGAGAGACTTGCACCTGTGTCTAGCAACAGGCTGTTTTCTTGTTCCTCCATAGTCATGATTACCCAGGGCTCCTCGATGGAGATGACGGTCTGGCCAGAGGGAGAAGGCAGACCATGCCCCAAGCCCTCTCATTCCTGTTGGACTAACTGGTAGCATGGGTCTGAGCTCTGGGGCCTCCACCTCCAGAGGGCAGACCGATCTCCAGTGGTCTCCTTTGCATCCAGGGCATGGCCCATGGGGCCTCTTAGGGCAGTTCCTCTTGAGGTGGCCTGGCTTTTAACAGTGGTAGCAGATGAATGCAGTTGTCGAGTTCTTCTTGGAGCCCCGGGAATCAGACCTGGGATCTGTTTCTCTTAGTGGTGCAGCAAAAGCAGCTGCTTTTTCTTGGTCTCTTTGTTTTCTCTCCTTGGCCTCCTCCTCCTCATCGCTATAGAATGCTGAGGAGGCAATTCTTACTAACATCTCAAGTGAGCTATCTGGGGTGAAAGCCATTCTTTGTAGCTTTTTCTCTCCAGCTTCCCATTGCTTTGGGACCCCACAACCACTTAGTGTCCTCTCCCCAACTGTCAGCACAGGTGATTTCTTGTTTTAAATAGTATGTAAACTTTGGAGTAATAACTTGAGAAATCAGGACTCACATTTCCTAAGCAGTCAGTATATTAGTTTTGTTTTTCCTTCATTTTAATGATTTCATCATGCAAACATTGCCTACACTTTAGGCTATCAGAAGCCTTGTGATTTGAAAAGTAAATGTAGTGTCTTTTAAAAGCCAGTGAAGTCTTGTCTTCTCTATTTGTAAAGAGTATCTGAGGCAAGTACATGGGGAAGCATCAGCAATTTTTTTTATTTTTCTTTATACAAATTTCTAGATTCATTGTCTTAATAGAGATGAAAAGATATTTCCTCCTGACTTTATATAATCAGAAAGAATTTTCAGCAGTTAGAAGGAATAACTTCTAATGCCCTTTAGCCTAGTATAGTGTAACTATGGTTGACAATTGAGTATTTCAGAATAGCTAGGAGAGGATTTTGAATGTTCCCAGTACAATAAATATGATAAATGTGCCAGTTACTCTAATCTGATTGTTACCCTCTGTGTGCGTATATGGAAATGTCTCCCTGTACCCCATAAATATGTGCAAGTTGTGTGTCTATTAATTTTTTTTTTTTTTTTTTTTTTTTTTTTTGGTTTTGGTTTTTTTACTCACAGCCTTGCGCTTGCCAGGCAGGCGCTTATGCCACTGAGCTATTTCCCCAGCCCTGTGTCTATTAAATTTTTAAATCATTTTTTAAAAGCACTTTTCAGTAATAAATTCTTGCTCTCAGAAGAATTCTTAAGTCAGAGCATCGGTCTCTGGACCTCTAGGACTGTTGTCTGCATTTCCTGTTTCTGGTTAGGGTTTCAGTGAATGGGCTGAGAAACAGTGGCTCAGGCATTGGCTGGTTGATCCCAGATTAGATCGGCCTCATGAGGTCCAGGGCTACTTTCCAAGGCCTTCAAAATCCTGCAGGAGCTGGAGGCTACCCCATGTCCCGAGCCAGTCTCCAGACAGTCCGAAGGCACTGAGTGACGTGTTTTGGTTTGAGCAGTGTCACAATGGCAGGACTTTAGGAACCTGTACCACACTGAAGGGCCTGGCGTTGGTCCTTAACCACTTTACTGCTGGCACAGCCCTGGGAGTCAGGATCCGCTTTAGTTTAACTCTTTTGTATTTTACTCTTGACCAGCCAGGATCTTACAGGCTATTACTGTCCGTCTCATCCTTAGATTGGAATACGAGAGCAGAAAGCTTTTTTTAGTCCATATACGTCTTCCAGATAAGTAAATGTTGGCATGTAGCAATGAATGTATAGGCGGCTCAGTTTTTCAGTGATTTTCCTAACAAATTTTTTGATGTGTTCTGCTGTTCCCTACGACAGTTTAATGAGGCAAAAGTGAACACCCTCCACTTGCAAATGGGGCATTGGTCCTCTCTGTGGCTTTTCTGACTTGTGGAGTGGCCTCATGGGCAATCTGCTGTCACAGGAAGATGTTTAGAGTTTGATTAAGGGAAGTTTCACAACATTTAAGTGATCTCACTTCTATTTTAATGCTACTTGAACATTTAGCAAGTAGTCACCATCCGGGAGAAACACAATTTCGTTTGAACATGTTTTAAAAATTTGAAATACAATATAAAGTTAATATTATTGACATGCGTTATTATGTAGACATTCAGCTCTGACCAGTGAATGTTGTGTAGCTAGTTCCTAAATTTGTATTTGTGTCCTCTAGAAATTTTGGCTTATAACTTGTTTTTATGGCTAGAAACCTGAGTGTCCTTTTTCAGATTTGTTTGACTGATGAATGTCTTTGGTGCAATTTGCTTACAAAGAAAATCACTTGTTTTCCAAAAGTAAAGCATCCTGGTTATCTTTGTGTAACCTTCAAAGGGAAATGAGATACTCCATTTAAAAAAGGCTTGGCCTAAAACAATGTGTTTCTTTTTTTTTTTTTTTTTTTGCACATGTGTTTGTTGAAAATCCTGTTGATTCACAATAAAATAATTTGCACTGAAGTGCAAAAATGCCTTCCTCTGTCAAGTATTTGAAAGTTGTTTCAGTGCATATAATCTTATTTTTTTCCAACTGTTTTCAGAGTAATTCTTCAGTCCAGTGTTCAGAGCTGTAAAACATCTGAACCTAACCTTTCTGGCAGTGCAGGCATTACTAAAAGAACCACCAGATCTGCTTCGAGGAAAAGCAGTTTTAAAAGGTGAGAAAAGAATCCTGTTCTTCTGAAAAATTCCAAGCATCAGTTTCTAGCTTAACCTTTTGAACTCCACTTCCAGAGATTCAAAATAAGATAGGAGAAAGGCATGTTTCTGCAATGGGAAATAGTTAATCAGAGTTGGGCGTGGTGGCACTCGCCTGTAATCCCAGCACTCAAGAGGCTGAGGCAGGATTGTTGTGAGTTCGAGGCCAGCCTGAGCTACAAAGTGAGCTCAAGGCCAGCCTGAACTGCATAGCGAGACCCTGTCTCAAAAAGACAAAAAAAAAAAAAAAAGAAAAAAGGAAATAATTAATCAGGTGTGTCTTACATGTTCATGGTCTATGAAAATCTGGACCACTGGAATGTAGGCTTTTGTAACTTAAAGAGTTTCCAAAGCTTTCTGTCAGGGCTTGGATGAACACTTCTGTGTACAGGATAACAGTGTCTTTGTGCGGTTAGCCGCGCAGTAAGTACGATGTGGAGATGCACCGACTCGGGTCCGTTTTGGGGTCTGTCTTGACCTTGTGGCTCCTTGTCCTCTTGGCTGCAGCCTCCGTTCAGTGGTCTCATATGTCTCCCACGTCTGTCCTGGCACCTTACATCGTTTGCTAAGTACTTCCTGACCTAGATAAAGGTTCCTGAAAAACAATCGAAAAGGGCTAGTTTCACATCAAAGTTCTGAGGTATTAGCCTAAGTTTGTAAATGTGATTTACACTATGTAGAGAGAAATGTGAAACAATGTAAATGTTTACAGAATGCAAATTTCTATATATGTAGAGAAATAAAGGAAAAATATCACCTAATACTGACATTCTGCTCTAATAAGAAAATGGGCTTGTCCTGAGACCAGGCCAGTGGCTTGCTGCTGTCTCTGGGCATTTATCACGAACTGAGAGCAGACACTTAATTTTTAAAATATTCCCACAACAGGTCCCTTGTGAGGCAAGGATAGGTCGTTGGTTCCTTGGTGTCGCAGGTATGGAGGACATGCACAGTGAGATTTTGCACTTGCAGCAGACAGAGCTCTTATAATAATCCATACTTAGGCTGCACGTAATCAGGACCGTATTTTCCAGTGTCCCCGACTATCCCCTAGCTTCTTTTCCACTTTCCTGTCTGCTGGAGGCTTTGGGCTCCTCCATACTTCATCCATACTTTCGCTAAGTTAGTCCCCGTCGTGTCCCATGGCAGCCGCTGCTAGGCATTCTGGGGATTCACCTCGGTCCTTCCTCCCTGCTGAGTCTTCTGTGGAATTTTACTGCACAGTTAGACTCAGATGAGAAAGAAGGTGAACGCAGCTGAGTATTTGAGAATTGTTGGGCTCCAACTGACGACTTTAGGATCTTAAATTTTTTATTAGGGATATATCAAATATCCATGCTCATTTTACTGTCGTACTCCATTTGACAGGAAAGTTACAGCTACACTAACAAGAGGCCAAAGATTTATAGGTACACTGAGATGTAATATCAGTATTTTATGACAGCAAGAAATAGGGAATGAACTGGAGAGTGCTCAAGGAGCTGAGATTTTATTTACTTTTATTTTCGGTAATGCTGGGGACGCAGCCCAGGACCTTGCACACGGAAGGAAGACACGTACCACAGAACCACCCCCCGGCCTGAGTCAGGTTTAAAAAAAATTTTCCTGACCTAGATAAAGGTTCCTGAAAAACAAGCGAAAAGAGCTAGCTTAACGTCAAAGTTCTGAGGTATTAGCCAAAGTTTGTAAATGTGATTTACACTATGTAGAGAGAAATGTGGAACAATATAAATGTTTACAGAATGCAAATTTCTATATATGTAGAGAAATAAAGGAAAAATATCACCTAATACTGACATTCTGCTAGCTGATAGGACATTTGGGGATTTACTTTTTTTTTCTTCTCACTTTATTTTCCAACTTTTCTACAATAAAGGCAGAAAATGAAGTATTTTAACTTGACACTTTAAGGGGATCAAACTGTCAAAAGCTAAAAACCCTGCTGTTGGTGGTCATACATTTTGATATACTTCCAGAGGACTTGCCCTTTCTAGGTGTAAAGACTCAGGCCTTCCTCACAACCAGGTCTTGCACACTTTATCTGCCTTTCACTCTTTTGGATTGGACTGTTTCAGGTTACAGAGCAGTAGAAATGCATTCAGGACCCTGGCCCGAGCCAGCCAAGTCCCACCTTGTTCCTGTGAGGAGGCTGGCTGTGCCCTGGTCTTTCTGTCCAGGTCCGCTTGCTGTGTCATTTTGAGTGACCTCCGTTTTGCTTTATTGGAGCATAGTTCCTGATTGCAGTGAGTGTCCACCTTGGGCCCTGGCCAAGATGCTTTCAGGGTTCTAAAGTAGGTCAGATGGAATAAGATGGGCTGAATGGTGGATTGGCCCCCAAAACAGTTTCCAGGAATTTGGGGCAGTGCCAAAAAGCAAAACAACTCCCTTTATAAGTTCATGGACACGGACGTCCATGGATGCTTCAGAGAGGTGAAGAAGCGCAGCAGGGAGAGCTCTTTGGGTTCACGGTTCACTTAGCCACTTTTCTCTGTGCGGGCTTTTGGAGTGATTTGGCTTGTTCCCTGTGTACTGCAGCTTATAAAAGAAAAGCAGACAGATTATGTGCAGTATCCCACCACCTCCAGGAAGCAGAGGCAGCTCTGCTACAGCCTGGAGCATTGGTCCCACCCATTATTACTTGGTTTGGGTTGGAAGGTAATGAACAAATTTAACATGCTAGTGCATAATCATATTCAGGGAAAGATAGTACAAGCCAAGATTGTTGACTGATTCTAAGGTCCTGAATTGACATGTCTTCTTTAAACAGCAGCAGCACCCCACCTCCCCCACCCCCAGGGCTCCCTCTATGTGTACCTAGGTGGGAGCCTTGGGGGAGCTGCAGATCATAGCCTCCGATGGGGAGGGAAGGCCTCTGTTGCAGGTCCAGTCACAGGCTCATTGCCACCCGGTGTGGAGGAGCCCGGCTGTCGGCTCGCGTCCTCATCTGCTCTCCAAGACTTCAGGGATGAAGAGCAGATGCCCTTCCCCACCAGTTGGCACTGAATTGGCTGCTTTGATCCTGACAGTTTACTGAGAGACTTCTGCTTTGGACACACACGTGCACACGCACCTGTTGAAAAGGCAGTTATTGGCCAGGGAGTGTTGTGCCCTAAACATTTGTTGTTAGGGAAGAAATGCCAACATGTTTCTCATGGCAGTGTGCCCTGGATGTAGGCTACACCTGAACACGTGCGGCCTGGTGACAGGTGGCTGGGAGGCCAGGCCCGTAGTGCTGATGGAGGGCAGTGCCACCTTCTTTCCTTTCTCAAGTCCACAGGGGAAACTCCTGGGCTCCGGCAACTCCCTCCTCCTGCCCGACTCCAAGCCCATGCTCACCTTTCTCTTTTAAGGGTTAATGAATCCATGGACTAAGCGGCTGTGTGGAACCCGGCTTCATTGCTCTTGGATTCGGGTGTGTGAAGAGCTCTCTCAGGACGAGTTCTGACTGTCACAGGCCTTGCCGCTGCCCACCTGCCGCCGTCACCTCTTGCATCCCCGCTGTTCCCCATAAGTGCATGTCTAGTGCATGTTTCTGGAAGCTTCGGCCGTTTATTTGGGGCAGTCTCTTCTTTTTAAGTCATGTCATCCCATTTTCTAAGATACCTGTTGTATACAAGTGACTTATTTTAAGTTGTATCTTTGGGAACCAGCACTCTACTCAGCTGCCAAACCAACCTCCTGTCCATGGCTTTTGGATGCTTAGTACCCAGTTGTTCATATTGTAGGGGGAGAGATGCTCGGGTTGCCTCCCAAGCCTCACATAAGCCCTTCCGCTAGGAGGACCTACACTTGTTTGACTTTTTACATCCCTCTGCTAAGGCCATGGCCATCACGCCTGTCCCTGCATCTCGGCCTCAGAGTAGCCGATCTTGGTGCGTGCTCTACTGCTTGTGCGTTTTGGTACTGCCGTTCCCTCCAGGAGTACGTCAGCGTAGGGGTGTTCTAAGTATTCTTTTTAAAAATGCGGACTCCTGATCTTTTAAAATATTAATTCATGTCCATTTGAAATTCCAGGTATTTTCCCACTTGGCCTCTGCTGGCTGACCTGAGTGTTTTAAACTCAGTACTCTTTTGGGTATCTGATCCATGCAGACAAGCCTCCTCCATCAAGCAGGCGTCCTCTCACCTCCAGAACGGAAGTGGTTTTCCTCTCTTGGTTCTGCTTTTGTTTTTCCTCTGCAAGTTGCTTTTGAGTTGAAAGTGTCACAGGACACATTGGAGCAGCAAGGGAGGGTGAGAGGCTGGGTCCCTGGGTCCCTGTCTATGTCCCTCAGGGGCAGTCCCCTCGCAGCCTGCCGAGGAAGGGGGACCTGGCGGAGCTGGAAAATGCTTGAGTTGCCGGAGCTTTTTCTGTGACCGAATCCTGGCTTTTGAAACCATCTGGTAACCTTTCTCATCTTCTCATTTCCACTTTCCCACAGCCTGGTTCCTCAGCGGGAAAGAAGGAAAAGGAGTGCTTTGCAGCAGATGTCCTTGGTGGCATTATGGTACTTGCCTTGACCTGCTGCCCTTGCCCGCCCATCTTTGTTTATTTTTATTTCTTTTTCTATTTCTTTTTTTGTTCTGTTTTAGTTTTCTTTCACAGAATTGAACCTTTTTCTGCTCTGCCTTTCTCTCCTGTTCATCTTTACTTTATGGTTGATATTGTACTGTCTTCTCTAAAACTTCGTCTTTAAAAAAAATGACCCAAAACATGTACTTTTTAGCATGTCAATATTTTTATTACGTTGCCTTCCTTGTCTGTGGTAAATGTCTCGAGGACACTGTCAAACCTTCATGGTAAAATCCTTTTTTTCTCTCTCTCTCTCTCCTCAGTCCCTCCATTTCAAGGACCAAAACAGTTTTGCGTTAAGTAAAAAGCCGTGACCTGAACTGAAGAAATTCTAGGAACGGAAAACTGACAGGACTTAGCAGGTTATTTAAAAGCAAAACAGAAATTGCAAAAGCCTTAGTTGCTTCCACCTAAGAAATGTATTCACTGAAGAAGACATCTGACAGAGTCTCGGTAACTCCCTGCGTCTGGGTGTGAAAGGAGACTTGAAGGCCCCAACTTGCCATTTTTGCAGAGTCGTCTCAAGCTGAATGAGGAAATGATGTTGTAATGTAGTCTCAGGTGTAAATACCACGGCCCTCTGCCATCTGGAGAGCTGGTGTTTGGTGGCCCTTGTGTGTCCCCACGGTGGCAGTTGTGCTTGCTGCTGGCCTTCAGAAGAGCCAAGGATCTGATGGAGGTTTCCTGTGTATTTATTTTCTGTTCATCCCGTGACCCTGTGTGGAGATTTGTAAAGATAAAGCAAGCTTTGCCGCAGTGATACTTCCTGTCATTGGAAGCTGTTCGGTTTCATCTCCTTTTTGCTCTTTGCCATACTTTTGTCATGTTTACTCTGTGAAGTACCCAAGCTGCTTGTCTTCTACCAAAGAGTGCTTTATGAACATGAATCTGTGAAGACCCCGCGGAAACATTGCTGCATGCTGTCACACCAAATGGTACCGTGCTCACCTCAGACTTGCCAGAGAATATTCATGGAAGCTTTAGAAGACGCCAGGGGAGAAACTGGTTTCAGAGTTGAAGATTCTTGCCAAGTCCTTCCTTTCTCGTCACTTAGGGACTACAGCATAGCGAGACCGATTATTGGGTGGCCGGTCACACAATCAAGTCAGATTTCCTTCCATGCATATGGGGGAGGCGCCCACTGTTGGTTTTTACCCTTCAAAACTGCAGTCCCGAGTAATGGTGGCTTTAAAAACAAAATTGTTAACACTTGTTTCAGAATCCTGCTCTGTAACACTGTGGATTTTTGTTTTTCTTTTATGATCAGTCTAGGGCCATTCATATGCTCTGATTTCAGTAACAATTACTTGCTTTTGGATTTTGGTTTGTCCTAAGAGAACTCACCGTTGCCTTTGGTTAGGGAATCCAACTAGTAACTCTGTAGTGTGCCTTCTCCCCTCCCCCCTCCTGAAGCACAGCAGGGCTGTGACATAAGCAATCACAAAATAGTTTTATCTGCTGCTCAAAACAAAAACCAGGGCCCATAATTAAAGACTGTTTTGCAGGTCCCTTGCTCCTGCTGTCCGGAGCCATCCTGGGCAGGCACATCCCACTTATCAGGAGCCAGGTCTGGCTTGTACTTGTCGGGACTGGAGCGTGACAGAGGGCAGGGCCATCCTGAGGCCGGATGAATGTATCGGGGGCTGGGGTCCCGCTGACCAGGCTACCCTTCTTGTAGTTGGAACAGACTAAAGTCTGTTTACCCAAAAAGGAATTGGAAGACAGTGGTTCCCCACTTCAGTGTTGTGCCCTTGGGGTGAAGTGTGACACTGAGTGGCTCTGAGGGGGCAGCTCTTCGCCCAGCAGGCCTAGTGAGTGGGATCACACCAGCATTTAAACCCTGGGGGCTGAATCCCAGGACAGTGGTTTTCTGTCCCTGGAAATGAATAGGCATAAGAGCGGGGCAGGAGGAGGAGCATTCCACTGTGCTGGGACACAAAATGTTCGCACTGTGCCCGGATATAAAACCCTGATTCTCAGGGCATCCTTTAGAGGCCTGCTGCTCATTCCTCATGCAGGTGGGCACACAGACCACACTGCCCTGGGGGCCATGCATGGCTTAGCTTTCTCTTAGGGCAGAGCGAGGAAGTGTGGCCCGCCTCGTCTGCTCCCTCCTGGGGAGCAGGCCGCGTGGGGTCTTGGCCAGGAGTGAAACCTTTGGGCCTCACTGCTCCTCACAGTGCTTTTTTGTTTTATAAATTGCCTTCTTGTGTTGGCTGCTCAAGTTTCCAGCTGGAATTGTTACCACTGGGGCTCTTGTTAACAATCTCTGTATCTGAGGAGTTCGTTGGAGTTAGTCACAGGAAACCTGTAGTTGGGGGAAGACCGGTCCCTGGCATAGGCAGAGGAGCGGGGCAGCGCTGCGGACAGGTTGTACCACGACAGTTAAACTTCCTCAGCACACCCTGAGGACCCTGGAGTCTTGGGCTGACGGATGGGAAGCCCTTCCTGCTGTAAGAGTGAACTCGCCGCCAGCCGAAACCACAGACCGCTCCACGAGCTGGGCATCTGACTCAGTCCTGTTACACATGACGCTGTTGCCATGGGGTAGGAAGCAGTGCCTGTCAGATGGCAAGCTTCCTTTGATTTAAGAGCCTTAAATAGCATTGAAAGTCTACCCAAACCACTTCCAATGGAATTAAAGTTAGAAATGAATATTTATAGGTGCCCTTGAAGCTTTCTGGGGATTCAGATCGTCAAGGGTCACAGAGAGTCCGAGGGAGGTGTGTCCACCTGTGAAATGGGGCCCCTGGAAGGACAGAGGGCCCTCTGTCACCCTGACCACACTGCAGGGGGAGGAGTGGCGGCAGGGAGCGGAGCCTCCTGCAGAGATGGCCTTACCCGTCCCAATGGCTGCATCCCAGCCGCACGCTGCTCTGCACTGCCCTGCCCCGAGTTTCCCAGATCCAAACTTCATGCCCTCAACCCAGCAACCCCCACTCCCCACCCATCCCAGGAATGGTGTCTGCTCTTGGTTGGGTCCAGACGAGCCTTAGCAGTGTCCCCTAGAGGCCACCGTGCTTGACCCGGTCTGAGGTTGTCTTGTGCCTTGTGCCGGCCATCCTGGGACCTCCCCTTTGCTTGAATCTCCAATCTTGACAAAGGACCGATGCGCCCTGGGTGGTGGTCTGCCCTCCTTCATATTTTTTTATAATTCTTACTGCACTTCAGAAAGGAGTGCTCATCAACAACCACCTTACACCATCTTTTATTTTTTGAATACTTCTCTTCCACTGACATGCCCTGGTGAGGTTAGTTGCTGCTCTTCCTTTTCTCCTAAATCTGAGTATTTTCCATGTCGATGAGCGGAAATACTATAGATGTACTTAAAAGACTGGACGATTCACCTATACTGTGTAGGAAATTACCTCCTTAACCACCCAGTGGAACTAACTGTCCGCAGACTTGTTCATGGGATTAGAGTACTGCAGTTTTATATTAATACTTTGCAGACTTTTATCTAATGTGCACTCATGTACAGATTATTAAGAGTTTTAAAATAACTGAGTAATTAGTATTTGATCAATCATTGTCTTGATTTTTTTATTAAATTGTATATTTCTAATCCCTTTTTAAAGCTGAGAGAACTGGTTGAATGTTTATTTTCATGAAGGTATTTTTAAGATAAAGCTTCATAATGGCCTGTAAACTTTGCGTATATATGTAGTTTGATACATACTGTCGCATTTGAAAATCTTGTGTATTGTAACTGGTTTTATACAAAATACTGAATAGTGGCAGTTGTGTGATTACAATCGTAATTAAAAGTATTAACTAAGCAGACTTCCGGTTTATTGTATTCTCTTAGCGTGCTGAATTATGGTAGGGAGCGGTAAAATAGAAAGTGGATATAACCCTTCTTGATTAATACTCCAAGGCGACCGTGACAAAAGGCCAGTCTGAGTGACTTAAACAGCAGTTTGTTTCCTCTCAATTCTCAAGACCAGCATCAGGGTGTTGGCAGGGGGAGCTGCAGATGGCCGCTTCCCTTGGGGCCCCACATGGCCTTTCCTCTTCGCCCGCCCTTCCCTGGTGTCTCCCTGTGTTCTCGTCTCACAAGGACATTAGTAGGGTTGGATTGGTGCCCACCTCATGGCCACATTTTCCCGTAACCACTCCTTACAGACTCCACTCACCTCTTTATCCACCCCAGCTCCAGGCCCATCTGAGGCACAGGGCTTCGGGCTTTGGGGGAGCACAGGAGTAAGGTAGTAAGGGAGCAAGGGTCACCTCCTGTGGGTGTCTCCGAAGCAGTTAATTTTGTATCAACCCAAGCAAGTTCTTTGTCTCCCACAACTGAAGAATGAATTTGAAGACAAAAGGAAAAATTTAGCAGAGTGTTTATTGGGAATGATAATAAGCAAAAAAGCCAGGTATAGTGGCGTGTGCCCATAGTCTCAGCGCTCAGGAGGCTGAGGCAGGAGGATCCCCACAAGTTGGAGGCCAGCGTGGGCTACACAGTGAGTTAAAGAGCAGCCTGGATTATGTAGTGTGATCCTGTCTCAAAAAACCAAAAAAGGAAAAAAAAAATCTTCATAGTTACCCCAAAGGAGAAGGAAGTCTGATGTACCTTCTTTATTTTTGGCCTTATATATGGGGACTTATTTTTAAAAGGTGACTTCGCAGGGTTTAAAGAAAATTAGTATCTGGGCGTGGTGGCGCACACCTGTAACTTCAGGAAGCTGAAGCAGGAGGATTGCCGTGTGTTTGAAGCCAGCCTGACCTGCATAGTGAAGGTCAACCTGAACTACATGGAGAGACCCTATCACCAAAAAAGAAAGAAATTAGCTACTTAGCTAGTTCTCAGGAAACTTTAATTGAAAAGAAACTGGTTATTCTGCATTTGAAGTTTTTCCAAGTCCGGGTCAGAGGTGAGGCAGAGACGACTCAGCTAAATTAATGTATCTTTTTCCTGGAAGGAAAGGCCTTTACCTCCTTTCTTACCTTTTATCCTTCTGCTTGTGTTTTCTTTTGCATCTCCTAAGCTTGGCCTAGCTGCTTGAATTAGCTCTTGACCCCGGGGGCTGATTTCTGTTAGCTGAACCGATCAGTAGGCAGCATCTACCGTGTATCTTGAAGCACTAAGCTGAACGACAGCTGTGCACGCCCAGCAGCAGCACAGACGGTGCAAAGGCTTGAGTGCTGGTAAGGCTCCAGAGCTTGCCAAGGAGGCCTGCTGGCCCTGGACTGGGGCGCTCAGCTGCCGGGCCAAGCAGGGCTGGTCCTAGCGCTGTGCGCGTGGGACATCTCACGCAGGATGCCGGCTTCCGTGCTGCTGTCCGGCCTCTCCTGGTCTGTGGCTGGGTAGGATCTGAGGACCTTACAGAGCCTGGGTCTGGGATTTGGACCTTCTGAATGCTGTCCAGGTCTCCAAGGACTGGGCATGACTTTCCACCAGGATACAAGTTTTCAACGTCTAACCCTGTCTTCCAGCCCCTCTGCAGATTCCTGCCCCGGTTCCCTTGCATCTCTGAGGAGCTGCCAGTCCCCTGCCCCCTGTCCCATGCAGGGTGTCTGAGGTCCAGGCACTTGGCAGGGACCCAGACGCTCAGGAAGGTGAGTTCTGTGGAGGGCCAGCTTGGCGGCTGGTGTTTCAGAGCTGTGCGGTGTGTGGCCCTGTGGGTTCCTGCTCTCCTCCCATCCTGAGCCACACTGTCCCTTTCTCTTCTGCCAGGTGGGCAGTGTGTTAATCCCGTCTGCTTTCACTGAAGGGAAGTGGAGACAGAAAGAATCCCTGTTGTAACGGTTTGAAAATGAATGATCTAACACAGAGTACTTAAAACATAGCACCGTGGGCACACAGCCATTACTAAACTTACGTTTTAGGTGATTACCTCTAGACAATCAGGTAAAGACTTTAGTAGAATATGGTGGCCACTCAGGATCTGATATTTCTTGGTACATAATTCCATGGACCTGTCATGCTAGGAGACTTTAAAAAGAGGTAGAATAAATTACTCTGACTGGAACAGGGCCCCGATCCTCTTCACGGAAGCCTCTTGAGAGTGACTGTTGAGAGGTGAGGTCAGGGGTTCGTGGGCATCAGAGGCCCTTCCTCGAGGCCCTGGCTGGTGATTGAGCTGGTGGGAAAGAGCAAGTCCCAGAGGTGTGCCTCCGCACCCCGGCCTGGGCTCCTGTGTCTGCTCTGAGCTGGTTGGTTCACCTGAGGAAGAGGACTGGTGAACGAGGAGTGTTGGGCGGCACCAACTACCTGGTGGGCCGTGCGTGGGCTCCAGTGAGGCGCACACCAGCCGTGCCCTGTGCCCCTCTGCGTGCGAGGGCAGTGGTGCATGCCTTGAAAATGGTTTCTTGGAAGGAATTCTCTGAAAACGTCATTTTCCCCGCCTCCATAGCATCCGATGACCTGGCATTCTCTGCCCGAGCCGGGCCACCGCTTTTCCGGGCTGCTGGGTAAAGAGCCCCTGGATACATTTTTCCTGGATAGTGCTGGTTAATTCTCTCAAGGCGATGTAGTTGTTCAGAGCATGGCTTCCGGGCTCAGACTGGGTGCAAACCTTGGCTCTTTCCATGTCTCTGTGTGATTGGGGCCAAGAGACTTGGCCTCTCCAGACCTGTTTCCTCCTTCAGAGAGAGCTGGCACTGTCACCCTTCGGGGTTGTGTGCGGGTTGAAGAGTTGATGTTTGCTTCTCCCTTAAGAGTGCATGCCTGGTGTGTACCAAGAGCCATATGTAGTAGTACATTTAGTAAAATATAAAAATACGGCCGTGCTGCTTTCAAGAGGAGCCTGAGGATCTGCAGGCCCCATCCTTCCTCCCCTCATGGGCAGCTGTGGGGACACTGGTGAGCAGGTGATGAATTAACAGCAGGACACACTGGCCCCAAGGTCACACTGGGGTATTTTGTCTCCGAACACAGGATAACCCTGTGGTGTAGTTTTGCTGGTTCTGTCCACTTGTTAGAGGAGAAAATGGACCCTTCTGCGCAGCTCCTTCAGATTCCTCCCCCGGCTCGATCTCTGGGGCCCTGGTCCATGTAGCGGTGTGGTCTTTTGGTGCCTCCGAAGGGTACCTGGCTTCCTTGCCTTCTCTCTGTGTTGACTCTTTCCAGCAAGTCTGCATGATTTTGCCCTGCTCGTGGGTGATGCGTTCCTGGGCCACCCTCAAGTCCCCAGGTAAGGTGGTGCCAGGACACCAAGGCTGGCTCCCGTTTTCCCAGTGGCCAAAGAGCATGTCTTAAGCAGGTGGGACAAGGGCCTTGGGGGAAGCCAGTGCTGATTTTCTTAGAGACAGACCAGGGCTGCCCTTCATCGTGGGCCTTGTGAAACAAGGCTTTCATTCTCCCTCTCCAGAGAATGCTGTGTCTGGTGCCCACGGCTGTCCTGTTGTCCCCCTACCATGGCCATGTTTTCAGCCAACTTCAGGAAGCCGAGCTGCCCAGGAAGCCCCAGCTCTCCGGGACTCTGCATAGTGAAGGGGTGCCTTGCTCTGTTGTACCCAGGCCCAAGCCAGGGCTGGAGGGACGATTCCCCTGCTGGAGGCTGCTGCAGGGCTTGAGGGCAGCCGGGGAAGCTGGGGCACCAGGGGGCACTGAGCTGACACCTTGCTGCTGGCTGGGGGATCCCCCATGTGCAGCAGCTGCAGAAGGGGCACCTTGCCCGCTGCCACCCTCCCTGAAAGGGCGTCCGCTGTGGCCCGGCTGGAGGCTACCGAGGCACCCGAAGCAGGCTTGTGGGTGGCACGTCCTTCAGCAGCAGCAAGGGTCCCTTTGGCTTTTGGGGGAAGGGGCGAGTGGCTGCCCAAGCCACTCCTCCTCCTGGAGACACGGGCGGGTGTAGTGACATGCCCTGATCGTGCCCTTCTTTTTGCAGTGATGGTTGGCTGTCTTGGACTGTAACCTTCCTGGAATGGCTTTTCACCTGGCTCGGGATCCGCAGCAACTGAGCACCCCTCCCACCAGCACAGTGCTGCCCTCCCTGCCCGCCCGCTCTCCTCGAGCAATCCAGCCCCTCGGAGAATCTGTGTCTGCCTCGTTCTTCGCTGGTATTGGGATTTCAGCCCAGGGCTTCCCGGCTGTGAGTGACCAGCTCAGAAGAGCCCGGGCTGGCGATGTCCCCTGTAGCAGCTCATTCCCCAGGTTGGTAGGGCTTAAAGCTTCCTCAGATAGGAACCCAAGACAACACGGTGGGACCTGAGCCCTCCAACTCTGAAGAAAAGTGTCTACCCCATCTTACTTCCTTTTCCTTCCCTTCCTCCCCCTCTCCCTGCTTTCCTTCTTTTTCTCCTTTCCCCTTCCTTCTTTTTCTCTGTACTGAGGATTGAACCCAGGGCCTTCACAACATCCTCAGCCCTTTTTAAAAATTTTTAAAAGATGTTTTCAGGGTGTCATTAAGTCACTGCGTTGCTTAGGCTGGGTTTGAGTTTGTCATCCTCTTGCCTCCCAGACTGCAGGAATTATAACTGTGTCCTGCCACACCCAGCTAAAGATCACACTTTAAAAAAGATTTGTTCACAGTACAACCCCAGCCCTTAGACTGTAGATATATATAGATACATATAGACATATCTATATGTATCTATATATATCTATATATCTATATCTGTATATCTATATATATCTATATATATCTATATATTTTGAGACAGGGTCTATGTAGTCCAGGCTGGCTTTGAACTCTTGGCAATCCTCCTGCCTCAGCCTCTGGAGTGCTGGGACTACAGGCATAGGCCACCACATCTGGTATCAGTTTGCACTCCTGAGAGAATTTAGGACGTGCTACGGATACTGAAGCGCTTTCCTCACTGTTACTCTAAGGCAAAGCCAGCGGCTCATGTCGGAGTGGGCCAAGTACAGTTGTGTAGGTTGTCCCACGTGGGTGTGACTGTCAGGCCCTCAGGTTGCGGGTACACAGCAGGGGTATGCGGGTGCCTCCGGCTTCACACGTACTCTGTAGTACTTGAGCTCTCAGCAGACCACACGGGGTTTCTGTGCAAGCCGGTGCCCCTCCCTTCTCACGTGACAGGCACGCGCCTTAGATGGCTCTGCACTGCCAGGTACACTGCTGCGCCCAGGAGCTGGGCGCATCCTTGTAAAGAAACCGCAGTCAGGAGGCAGTGGTTTCTCTGCTCACCCCTCTGTGATGCTGTGCGTGGAGCAGGGTGGTGCGAGAGCCTTGTGGTGTAGTGGGAGGGGGTGCTCTTGTCATCCTGTGTCCCCGGAAGCCTTGTGGCCCAGGCAGAGACTTTCCTGGAGCAGTGGGGGATGGACAGGAGCTACTGTCACCTCCCTCCCTTGGGCTTGGGGGAGCAGAGCCACCGCGCCTGCTGCTGGTGACCCAGGCTGCCTGCTGCCCATCTGCAGCTCCCAGGCCTCTTCTGGCTCCCACTTTGCAGGGCCAGCAGCGGTAGCCTGGTGCGTACCAAGGAAGCATTCAGCTGCCTCCAGCGACTGAGACAAGCACTTCACACCTGCTTGGACAAAAGGAGGCCCCTCTTGTCCCTGCCTAAGTGCACATGGCCCTTCGCTTGTCCCCTCTCTTGTTGAGACTAACAAGATTGCAGAGAGGGAAGCCTCGTTTCTGCCTATGCCACTGCCAGACCGAGCTGGGGCCAGGCAGGCAGCACCCTGTGATCCCCGGGGAAGGCAGGCGAGGCAGCTGCAGGGCAGCACGAGGGGCACCTCCTCCTTGGGTGGCATATTTCTGCCTGCAGATGTCCAGTGTGCGGGAGGGGCAGGTGCTGAGGACGCCTCCCGAGGCAGTTCTGGCGGGCTGAGGAGGACTCCCCCTTTAGGGGGAGGGAGGAGATGCAGGCACGGCCCACAGGACAGACGCAGAAGGAAGTGGCATCTCCGCATGCACGGTGGGCTGGAACTTACGCAACTACTCAGCTGTATTACAGTGAGAGATGCAGTGCCACGAATCCCACTCCAAGTACTCCTCACCTCGAACACCATCTTGGCCCACCATTCGCAACACCTTCTGACGCAGCTCGGAGTCCTCCTTTCTGAGTGCCTTTAATCGCACTGTCATGGCAGCCTTGGTGTCGTAATCAGTTCAGACGTCCACCTTGCACGGTCACTGACTTCAGGGAAGAGCCAGAAGCCACCCAGGGCCGGATCCCATGCGCTGGGTGGATGAGGACCCATGGTGTTCTGCCACCACAGGGCTCATTTTTGGTCACACCTCAGAAGGATGAGGAAGAGGACCTTGAGAACCACTTCAGGAAGTTGCAAGAGTGATGGGACACGTGTATTCAGAGTGACAGGGAGAGGCCAGGGATATAGCCCAGAGGCACAGTGCCTGCCTGGCAAGTGCGGGGTTGTGAATTCGATTCCCAGTACCAAAAAACCCCCGCAAAACAAAGCAAGAGGATTCTTTTTTGTTTGTTTTAAGAGGGAGGATTCTGAGAGGAATTAATGGCAATGCCTTTTACTGTAGTAAATTTTTAAAAATGTAAACATTTACCTCACATAGTGGGCCTGTCCTGGGTATTGGAGTGGCTGGGTGGCGCTGGCTTGCTAGATGTACACGGTGGCCTGGAAAGGGCACGTCCTGCCCCTTGCCATCTTGAGATGTGGGTGCTGCTGCTACATGGGGCTCGTGATGCTACCACATGCAGTGGCTTCAAGGGCACCACGGTGCCCTTGCATGTGAAATGCCCCCGACTGAGGGCATGGGGTGCCTGGCTGGACAGCGGGAAGGGAGCTGAAATCCAGCCAGTACTGGCAAGGTGGGGCCTGGCGTGGGGCTGCCTGGCTTGGACGAAGATGCCCAAGGCTGGGTCACGGCAGCTGGGTTTTCCAGAGAGCAGAGCCTGCTCAGCTGCCACAACCGCCTTGGTCCGGCCTCTGGGTTCAGAGGTGCACTTAGATTTCCGTCTGGTTGGAGCAGCGGGCACAGCCCAGGCTTCTCCGGGATGTGCCTGGACATGGCTGTCACTGTGGGGTTGCTCCCAAGGCCCGGGACTTCACCCCAGCTCCCCCCGCAGCTGCAGCATGGCAACCCCGCTTGGACGCCTGAGACCCTGCTGTCCCCAAGCGGCCCCTGGGGCTGGACTGGTTGGCTTACCCCAGCGTCAGCTCCACCTGCAGGGACCTGACAGACGGCTGCGTTTGTGGTATAACCTGCTTCATTTTGTGGTACCAGGGTGGCTTGCCCTGCAATGACACACCTGCCGTGAGCACCTCCAAGGCAGGCGGACTGTAGTCAGGAAGGCCCTCGTGTCGGGGTACAAACACTAGGTCACCATGTGGACTTCCTCTGCTCCTTGCTTCACTCTTGCTGTCTTCTCTGGGCTACCTGTGCTATGGCTGGCTCCGGGCAGTCTAGAAAGGGCACAGCACGGACTCTGTAGCCATTGGCCCCAGTCAGCAAGGCAGCCCCAGTGACTAACAAAGCCTGTGGGCTACAGACCCAGAGCCAGAGCCATACACTCCGGAGGGCATGCGCTTGGAAGTGCTCTTCATGAGCGGGCGTTTCCTCTAGAGATGTGTTTTGTCAGTCTGCGCCAGTGAAGGTGAGGTGACGTAATGCGGAGTGGTCCCAGCCCTCACCCTGCAGCCGCCCGTGACTGGCCACGCCTGACACTGCTCACAAGGTCCCTTCACCCGGATCAGGCCCTCACATCACCGTCTTCCCCAGAGCAGGAACAAAACAATCCACCAAGACACATCAGTACTCAGATAAGTCATTTAATAATGAGACCCAAAGCCACTGCCACCCAACAGCCTTGACTGTCACACATTGAGGGGTTCAGCTTTCCACCGTGGCTCGGTGTGGCCGCAGGGGCTGAGTTTTCTATGCACAGTTTGGAGGGAATTCCAGCCTTTGTTTGTACCTGGGCCCCAGTTCAGAGCCATGTGAGCACAGCGGAGCATGAGGAGCAGAGCCTCGCACGGGGCTTCGGCGCCACCACAGGCCGACAGGCCAGAGCCACGGGCCGCCTGTCGGCACTCCTGCCGAGTCACTGCTGCCTCTGCCTGGCTCTGCAGCACCTGTGCGCTCTGAGCGGGCCAGCTGGGCCCTGGGCTCCGGCCCCACATCAGGCTGGGACTGCAGTGAGGAGCACTGGAGCCGCGCGCGGCCCACGCAGGAGCCAGGCACACAGCAGAGCAGGGGTCAGGCCGCCAGGTCCTGCGCGAGGCTGAGGCGCGCTCCTGTTCTGAGGAAAGGGTATGCCGCGAGCCTTGGCTGGGAAACTTTTCACTTGGTGAGTTAAATACAAGGATTTAAAAAATCATATACGTCATACTTGTCCTAAAAACCACCCAAATGCTAATTATGCACATATATACGTACTGTATGTACTGAGTGTGTACAGACACACACACAAACCACGAGGTAGTTTATATCACCATTAAAAAAATCAATACATTTCCTTTGTCACAGAGTGGTGACCACTGGCTGTACAACAGCTGTTTGGAATTAGTGGTTAAATAAAAATGAGAACTCAGGAAATTTCAGGAGGGTGTGACATTTACAAGTAAACACTCTTTGAAACTGCGGTGACTGCTCTAAATGAATAGTTACAATTCTTTGTTATTTCCTGTGATATAAGAGGGGAATCTATACAGCTTCTGGGAACTATACAATTTACTAAGTAGTCTCAAGAGATTATATTTTACAGCTTACTCTACTCTCTGTGCATTGGTGGAGGGTTTGATACAATCTCTATGTACACTTTTAACATTATTCCTGACCTTCATTTGGAATTAATTCCTTAAATAAAAAAAAATGGTCACCATTCCTCACCTGCTTGGAAAGTGCCTGACAGAAACCCCTGTTGGGGGCAGAGGGTGCAAAGCCTCTGCATCCCACACCCCCGGACCAAAAGAGGGCAGCAACTCCACACGACACTGGGAAGCAACATCTATTGTTCTCAGGGTCTCCTCGTAGGTGGGGGCCGCTGGCGCGGCCCCATTCATGCCAGAGCAGGGAAGTCTTCGGGGTCATCCGGGTTGGGGGCAATGTCTTGTGTCTAAAGAAGAGAAAGGTTTGGAACTGACTGTCCTGTCCCTGCTCCCGATGTGCCGGGGGAGGGGACTTGGCACAGATCCTGAGGGTCGAGGGGGCCGTTCGGGGGAGGGCCTTGGCAGGGCAGGCCCCGGGCCACTGTGCTCCGTTCTCCCTCCTGCGAATCCACACTAGTGAGAGTCAGTGAGGGGCCCTCTGGACTGCGCCCCCCTCACCCAGGAAACGCAACAGTGTTCATCACCTGCTGCGGCCGGGCCTGCAGACACAGGGCGAACCATTCAGTTCTTGTCTTTGCAGAGCTGAGACGGGGAAACACAACCTCCACCACAGGCATCCTGGGAACTGGGGACACCTAGTGCCACGCCTGCTGTCCCCGACAAGCCCTGGGGACTGGCCTGGAAGGGGAGGGCAGGCGCCGTACAGCCTCCCAACAGCTCTGCTATTTCAAAGGTGTGAATATGTTTTTTCTGGTCCCAGAGTGGATCCTTTTTTTTTTCACAAGTATTTATATTCAGGAAAGAAGTCGAGTTTTTGCTGTTACTTAATAAAAACTATAAGCATTTTTTCTGGGGCCACTCCCTGGTGCCAGGGAACTGGGTAGCAAAAGGAACATTTCTGAGAACAGAGAAGGGCTCCAGGTCACAAGGACACACACTGGCCCAGGCTGGACTCCCAGTAAACAAGTGCTTTCACCTGTTCATAAAGCTTTCTTGAAGTGGCTGCCACAGAGGAAGTGTGCTGGGTGGGCACTGGGAGACCAGTGGCAAAAGGCAGCCACGGCTTCTGTCTGCTGGACAGACAGCAGACACTGCCCGGTGAGACCCGCTAGCCGGGAGATACTGCTACGAAGTAAGGGACACGTTTCTCGCAGACCTTCGCTGGTCTGGAAGACAGGATTCGGAAGCCTCTGGTAAAGGAGTTCAGAAGCTTCCAGTCAAGGTGGGCGGGTGGAGGGCGGGGTGAGGAGGACAATCTGGGAGCTGGCTGTGCAGCCAGGAGGGAGGCAGTTGGGACGCGGATCACGAAGGGCCTGACGCTCAGGGAAGGCATGTCTGAGCTTGGGCACCCAGTCAGGCATAGGAAGCAATGGTCAGGTGGCCTGGTTCCATCTCAGGCTGGGGACCCTGTCCCACACGGAGGAGGAGGGACTGGTGGACAGCAGCCCTCCCTGCAGATGCTGAGGGAGGCGATGGCAGGTTCCGACCTGATGGGTGTCTACAGTGCGCCATCACCACGCCAAACCCTCACCTCCAGACTTGCTGTGGCCGGAGCTGCAGCCACGCCAGCACCTGGTGCCCCATGCCAAGTCAGACCACCAGGCCCAGGGCACGCTGGCCCCCTCACTGCCTTCAGAGAGCACCCAGGGCTGACGAGTGCAACCACTTACCACCACTTCCAGTCTGGGTGTGTAGTTCTCCGCCCGCCGGATCCGCCCCCGGCCGCCCCGGGCACCGCCTCTGCCTCCACGGCCAGGACGAGGGAGGTTCCCAAAGTTAATCTCCAGCTGGGATGTGATGTCATTGGCAGCTTTCCGGAAAACATGGGCATCCTCCTCATAGTCATCCTTCACTATCTGGAACACAGTGACAACCTCAGTCACACACACAAAGCGTCTCAGGACACTGACTGCGCAGAAGCGTCTCCAGGACACTACACAGCCGCTGGACACCATCGCCCCTCAGCGGAGGCCCGCCCTGGATGGAGGGGCCCTGCGTCCTGGTTCTCATGCAGGTGAGTGTGGTACATTTCAGTCGCACGGTCCTCTGGCTGACGTTGCTGAACTGACTACTGTTTTAAGTGAGACCACAGGTTTATCAGTTTAGCAAGTTAAGATGTGAGATTTAACGTGACTAACAGTAATTAATGTCAGTGTTCCAGTGGATTCTGCCAAGATGAAAAAAGTTTCTGCTTATTTGTTCACAAACACTACCCTAATCCTTAAGGAAATATCACCTCCCAGAAACAGAATCTGGAGAACTCAACATGGGTGCTGACTGTACAAATACCACGTTAAGAACTGCATGACTCACAATCAGTATTTCTGACTCAAGATGTATGGAAATCTTGTAACAAAGCATGGCTGCCAGAGTTTGCTTTTTTGTTTTTCGCTTTTTTGTTGTTTTTTGAGACTGGGTCTCACTATACAGTTCAGGCTGGCCTCAAACTTACAGTGATCCTTTTGCCTCAGCCTCCTGAGTGCTGGGATTACAAGTGTGTGCCACCACACTCAGCGCAAAACCATACTGCTTTTTAAAGAACTGCTTCAGTTCAAATTCTTTGTATTTTAGGAGATCAGGTAAGTTCTATCTTTTGTTAAAAGAAAACTATAACAAACCTCACCCAAATCTGATTTGAGTTTTCAATTCAAAATCATATTAAAAAAAACCAAAACCTCCCTTTAGTAAAACCTAAATGTTCAGAAAAGAAAACATGCCACTGCACTGCCCTTGGCTGAGAATCTCCAAAGTGCTGCGAAGTTAAACATTCCTATATGCTGCCCAGGAAATAGGAAAAATTTCCATGAGCACTCTTGATTCCTTTTGGCCATATGTTCATTACAAGTTTCAAAATTCAGATTAAAATAAAGCTTCCTGAGGCAAAAAAGGCGAATCCTGGATGGAAGTTAAACACAAAAAAACCTAGTAAGAGGCAACAGTAAACACTCTTACCCAAAAGACAGGTGGCTACCAGCGTACACTGGCACAGAAGTGCTGGTGAGGTGTTGGGCGCCTCCCCCAAGAGGGAACCCAGGGTGCGGGGATGAGGAGGACTGCACAGTCTCAGGCCTGGGTCCCTTCTCACCTCTGTGGCCCTGGCCACAGTGCACGGTGTACAGAGATGCTTTAAATTTGACCTTTGTAGGCAGCAGAGTTCTATGCAAACAGGAGGTTTTCGTGCAGGCTTTTGTGTCTTAGGGTGCCCAGAACAAAGTAAAATAATGACCCCATGATGTGGCTTTTGTTGCTTGAAGAGCAGTCCCTGGCTAGAATCCACAACTGCCCTAAGATTCACAAGGACCAAAGAGCGATTCATAGAGCTCAGGCCCAGTAACTCAGCTGACCTGGTTACTCCCAGTGTTCCCACACACCTCTGAAGCCAGGATGGATTAAAGCTGTGGACCAGGGAAGAGACTTCTATTTTTACCTGACATGTCAGCTGCATGTCTCTCAGCCTGAGGGCACAGCTGGTATAGACAAAGCTTTATTTGCATTGCTCAGAACAAAAAAGAACCAAGACAGTGGACACCAGGCAGCCTAGCCAGCTAGTGAGCTTGCCAAACACCTCACAGAGATCCCCAGGAGAGTAACACTCTGGCCTCTCGAGTGTGTAAAAGCCAATTCTGGTAGAACATCTCAGGACTTATCAGTAAGGTCCCCTAGATTTTGGACTCACCAAAGAGGACAGAGGGGCTACTGTATCATAAATGACAGATGGTAGGAAGTATCCATTCAAAGAATATAACTGACTGATGTGTGAGTGGGAACTCTTAGGGTTTGGATTGTAAATGCCCCCTAGCAGCTTGTGTGTTAAAAGACTTTGTCCCCAGCCTATGCCACTACTGGGAAATGGGACAGCCTTTAGAAGGTGAGGCCTAGTGGGAAGAAGTTAGGTCATTAACCTAATGCTTGCCCTTACAGGGGACAGGAGACCTGGCCCCTATCTGAATCTCTGTGTGAGCAGTTTCCTCTACCACACAGTTCCACCACGATGTTCTGTCTTGCCGCAGGCTCAAAGCAATGGGGCAAAGCAACCATGGACTGACACCTCTGAAACTGTGAATAAACATAAGCCTTTCCTGCTTGTAAGTTGATTACCTCAGGCACATTGTCACATCAACAGAAAGTCTACTAACACAGGAACAAAGACAAATCTACATAGTATTATGAGCCTCCACCTAACAATCAATAACCAGTACTCAACAACAAAGAGTTATCTAGTGACTAGTTTCAAGCTGTGATCAAAGGATAAAAATTCTAAATTCTGTCAGTGGGATGCTTCAACGTACCCTTAAGTTCAGTAACCTAAAGAGAATGTGATTAATGACCCATGGTCTCATTAATTTATGGAGGTAGATATTTTCCCTAAAATATCTCCCTTAAAAACTTGAGGCATGTAATAAAGAGCTGAATGTAAGCATGGAATAGAAGGCCATTTGCAACACTAGAGACTTCCTGAGCAGCCCTCACAGTTAAGCTGGTTGGGGCAGTAGCTGACCTCACTGTCCAGCAGCCTAGGACTTCTCTGCAGCTCCTGCAGTTAGGCAGAAGGCACACAGCCTCTGAAATAACACAAGAAAAGCAACATAGGTTTTGAATCTCCGACTGTAGTGTAAGGTGAGCAACTACTCCCAACAAGATGGTCATAAAGATTTAGAGCTACAGGTAATCTAATTGTGCAAATACAGAGTAGTCATCTTCTCAAATGGCGCTGTCCAGGAAACATTCTACATCTCTTACTCAAGAGACAGAAAATGAACATATAATGAACACAGTATTTGGACAGTCTCCATGCAGTTCCAGGCTGGGCAGAAAATGTGCTGTCACTCTACAGCTATGTATTTTAGTGTCAACACATTAAGCTTCAATTCTTTTTCATCCTCTGATTACTCTTAAGCAGAAACAAGAATACCAATTACTAATGTTCCAGCTTTCAAAATGATAGGAAAGGTCTATTTCATTTCCACTAAGGTAAAAGTGAAGGATTACCTCCACATACAAAATGCAATGCTTACATCATCTCTATATTTTGACTTGTGAATCACCACCGCTTTGGAAGGAACAGTAGATTCTGGTTTCCGGATGTTAAACTCAGGTTTTGGTCTGGTCTGTTCTTGAAGATTTTTCCATTCGTCCAAGGTCATCTCATAAACTTGAGTTTCCTCTTCTACCTCCAACTCAGGAACTCTACAGAGATATACAATCATAAAAAATAATTTTTGATGGAACTGAAATGCCTACCAAAGAAAAAATTATAATCTTGGTTTAACACACTTTTGTAGAACCGCATCTCGGATGTAAGGTAAGAACGCCCTTGAGTCATAAGCTTCCATACTTTATTTTCATCATTTCATGCCATTGCTGCCAACTGAACATACTTTCTCTCTCTGTTCAAAGCAGCCCACGGAAAAATGGGATCATCACTGTCCCAATACCATGCGCACCTCTTGTAGGGACAGAAAACAATTTGGCTGCTTCAGAAATCCGCCTGAGTGGTCTTTATTTTAAAACGTTCACATATGATTTGTCAGTTTCACTCTTAGGTGTATTCCCAAGAGAAGTGAAAACATATGTTCACACGAAAGCCCACACATGAATGGTCATAGCAGCATTATCCCTAACACCCATGACCTAGAAACTACCCTCATGTCCGTAACACAATAAACAGAAGATATTTTTTAAAATGTTACTTGGCAGTAAAAAGAAACAAAGTACTAGTACACGGTGCACCAAGAGCAAACCTTGACAACAGGGTGCTGAGCGTAATAAGGCAGCCACACAGAGCTAAGTCCTGTTTCTGTGTAGGGTTCCATTTATATAAAATATTCATAAGAGGCAAATTTATAGAGACAAAAAGCAGATCAGACTGAACGCTTAATGGATAGGAGATTTCCTTGGGAGATGATGGAAATGTTCTAGAACTAGATAATGGTGATGGTTGCATAACACTGTAGAAGTACTAGATGCCACTGCACTTGGTCTTAGCAAAAAGGCCGAGAAGTGATCTAGATGCCACTGAACTGCACGTTTTGAAAGGATCAAAACTAAATATTACAAGTAGCTTACCATCAACTGCCTCCACTGAAAAAATGCAAGAGGAATGAAGTATTAACATGGTATAATACAAATAAACCGGACACCTTTCACCAAGTAAAATAAGCCAAATATTGAAGGAATGATTCCTTACAAGAGGTAAACTCATTCATACAAAGTAGGGCTGACAGGAGGAGTTCCTAGTGGCAAGAGGGTACACAGTTTCTGTTTGGGATGATGAGAAAGTTCTGGAGATAATGGCAGTGATGGCTACACACAATGTAATTGATGGAAATATCTTATTACTTAAAAATGAGCTAAGCATAGTGGTGCCTGTCTTATAAACCCAGGACTTGAAAAGCTGAGACAGGAGGGTTCAAGGTAGTCTAAGCTATATAGCAAGTTAAAGGCCAGCCTAGACTATATAGAAGACCCAACCTATCTAAAAAAAAGGTAATTTTATGTTATTTATATTTATACAAATTTTAAAACATTAATAATGCACTATACTCCAAGCCATTGAACAGTAAATGTCTGAGTTGTATAGTATGAGAATTACATTCAATAAAGTTGTTTAAAAGTAAAAAAAAAAAAAAAAATAGGGAGGGATTCAAACCTACACCTTCACTGAAGAGCCAATGTAACTCAGAGTTCTATGATTATACAAGTTAATGATGAAAACTGTAAGCAAAATTGGGAGAGGAATCTAATTGCAAAGCATCCAAGACAGACACACAGTAGTGACGACCTATGAAGGGAGTGGGAGAGCTTCGGGGTGATGGGTGACACTGTGTATCCTGATGGGCCCACAAGTACATGCATGTGTCAAAACTGTGAGCATACAGTGCAGAGTTGTGGCTCTCACAGTATAGCAATTTTATATGAGAAAAGAGAAGTGGTAAACAAACCCTAAGTTAATTAATTATTAACTATTAATGATAGGTACACCGAACTAGTTAGGGGAAAGTATATAAATATCTAATTTAATATGAAATGTGTCAAAAACAAGGTTGACAATAGGTAGATATGATAGAACATATTAAGATATAAAAGTTTTGGGTGGGGCTGGGGATTTAGCTCAGTGACATAAGCGCCTGCCTGGCAAGTGCAAGGTCCTGAGTTCAGTTCCCTGTACCAAAAACAAACAAAAAAACAAAAAAATAATTAAAAGTTTAGGGTGGTAGGTAGAGGTACCTACCTGATTATAAAATTCTTTAGAAGTGTTGTTAGAACACTTCCGTTAAGAAATTAGAAAAATACTACTATTAACACACAGATTCCCCCAGTCAGCCATCAGGAAGCCCCAGTCCTGCAAGTGCTTAGGACTCAATCCTGGCCCGCCCTGCGTTCCTTCCCCCCCACCCTCTCTCAGATGCCCGAGGAGGCGCACACTGGGGAGGAGACTTTGCCTTCCAGGCAGAAACTGCCCAACTTATGTCTCTCATTATCAATACCTTCGGTTCCAACAAGGGAATTTTCCTAAAGGGAGCTGATCTCTAATGGTTTTGATGCCATGGATGAGATATCCGAGGAGAGCCTGACAAGATACTTCCAAGTTGGACAGCGGTGAATGGCTGAACAGTGACATCATCCCCAACTCTGAGCGCACTCTGACTTTGCTGGACACAGCTACTGGCATGACCAAGGTTTACCTCATAAACAATTTGAGAATCACTGCCAAGTCTAGTACTGAAGTGTTTATGGAGGCTCTTCAGGCCGGTACAGACATCTTCGTGATTAGGCAATCTGGTGTGAGATTTCACTCTTCCTTTCTGGTGGCAGAGAAAGTGGTGGTGGTCGCAAAGCACAACAGTGATGAGCAGTATGCCGCAGGGTTCTGCTGGGATCTTTCACTGTGCACTCCAGCCGCAGAAGCCCACCAGCCAGGGCCCAAAGTGATCTCCACCTCCAAGTACCAGACAGGTACTCAGAATAGAGGCAAGTTGAAGCAATGGTGAAGAAACACCTGCAGCTCACAGGCTATCCTATCACTCTACTGGGAGAAGGAGAGAGAGGAGGAAATCAGTGATGACGAGGCAAAGGAAGAGAAAGAGGAGGAAGCCCAAGATTGAAGATGTGGGCTCAAAAGAGGAGGAAGACACTGGTAAGAATGTGAAAGAGAAAACCGAGAAAATTGAGAAGAAATACAGCAAGCACAAAGAAATGAACATGACCAAGCCCATCTGGACCAGAAATTCAGATGACATCACTCAGGAGGAATATGAAAAATTCATTTGTTTATTTACTTGTGACAGTGTCTTGCTATGTAGCTTAGGCTGGCCCAGGCACTCTGCAACAACTCCAGTGTGGAGACATGGCCAAAGGCTGACACAGAAAGAACGATAAGGCTGTACAGGACCTGGTAATGCTGCTGTCTGAAACTGCACTGCTGTGTTCTGACTTCTCCCGTGAGGACCCCAGAGCCACTCTAACCACATGCTCTGCATGACCAAGCTGGGTCTGGACACTGCTGAAGACAAAGTGGCGCGGAGAAGCCCACTGCTGCTGTTCCTGACAAATCCCCATCTCTAGGGGGATGAGAATGCAAATCAAATGGAAGAAGTGGATCAGGAGCATGTACTGGGAAGCCCTGGCCCTCCGTACAGTGTCCCCACAGCTACACAGCAACCTCCAGTGGCCCCGTCCCACCCTGCTCCCTCTGCTGACATCCGGTAGGTTTTTCCTCTCCTACCCTCTGTCTAAGGCAGGAAAGAAGGGCCTCATGCTCCATTCACTCCATAATTTGACAGCAGCGTTAGATGTTGTACATAGTGATCTTATTTTTTTTCATTTTGTTCTGACAATAAAGTATGCAGAATAAAGAATATAGTTTAATACCACCCCCTCCACGGATCTCAAACATATACTGGCAACAATATGGAAAGATCTTAAAGAAGACATAATAATAGCAAAATATGGGCTAAAACCCACCTCATTTAGAGAGGCACTTGATGGAGATTAGAGTATAGCCGCACATGGAGATGAAGCAGGAAGAGATGGAGGGAGTGGGAGCGGGAGCAGGAGGAGGAGAGGGAGTGGGTTTTAGTTTTGGCACTGGGGAAGGAGCCACATCCCCAGCCACAAGGAAAAGAATTTTTATCAAAGCTGCTCATAGAGAAAAGGTAGTCAAATCTATGGTAATGTGAGTAATGCTAAATGCAAATTTATTTAGTTTATACATGCAAATTTGATGGTTATACTGTTTCTAAATGGGTGAAATTATAAAATAAAACTGCCTTAACCACAGCTATGTTTATTTATAAATGAATGGGATATTGTCCCATTCTGGTTTGCTTACTATAGGGCAGAGACTACATAAAAGGTTTTATATTAATTATAATTATCTCAGGATAATTAATCCTATGAATTAATGACTCCATTCTCCAGATAAGAAAATCAAGACAGAGGTTTTACAGTTAACAAATAACAGCAAGGCCACGTTTCAAATCTAGTCATTACCTGTCCAAAGCCCACCCCAATCTCTGTGCAGCCTCGAGATGCAGGAAGGGAGGGGCAGAGGTCAAGGTAGGGGAGCCAGGCACAGAGACCTCAGGTTTACTGAACTGTCTAAGCAGTCAGACAGTGTGAGCCCCAAGAGGTAAAACTCCAGCACCCAGATATCAGACGGGGGCGGTCTGGTTAACCACACACAGCAAAAAACACAGCACACGGAAGGCTTCACTGTTTAAGCAAACGCACATGGAAACCAATTATAAAAACACTGGAGATACTTTGAGCACAGAGAGCAGCACCCAGCCTCACAGCCGGGAACAGAGACTCCTCAGGGCTCCAGGTCACGCTTCCTCATGCTGACACAGCCACATTCTTTTCAGAAAGTTCCCAACAGCAAGTTCATCTAAGGGAGGATCGGCCCTGACTGTCCACTGCGGTCAGTGCCTGCTGGGCAGCCATGGTCTAGGAAGAGGATCATTATGTCCTCCTTCCTGAGCTGCCCAGGGGTCAAGGATACTCTGTGTGGACGCCCCCAGGGCCACTGAAAAGACGCCCTTCCCGCTGCTGTCCTTGGAGAGAGGTGCTGACGTGCACGGCAGACCGAGATGCCAGCAGCTCATCAGCTGCACGTGTCTTTCCAGCCGACCACAGAATATCACCATCCAATATCATGGATGTAACAGTATCTCCACAGAATGATGCTAGTATCTCTCCCTACTGCTTGTATCGTTTGAATGGGTACAAATGTTTATTGGTTCAAAGAGAGCAGAATGTTTTCCTCAAGGTGTCTATTTAAGTCGTTTACAACATTCACGTACCCATGAACCAATTTCCTTACTTAACCCACTGCCTAAATATTCTTATTAGTGGCAAATCCTATTTCTCTTTTTTTTGGAAAAAAAAAATCGAACTCAGGACCTTGCACTTACCAGGCAGGCACTTTGCCGCTGAGCTAGATCGCCAGCAAATCCTGTTTCTCTAAACACATTTCTTAGCTGTTCTGAATAGCAAATTAACAGATTCCACACTCATCAATCACTGTGGCACTTTTACTCTTGCAAGAAGTCACAATAAGAGCAGACATTTATACAGCACTAATGCCGTGCCAGGCACCACTCACACTCTCAATCCTTCCAACAACCTTATGCTGTAGTTTCTGTATTGTTCTCCTTCCAAAGATGAAGAATACTGAACCACTAAGGAAGAGATATTAAATAACTTGCTCAAGTGAGTAAGGGGTAGGTCTGGGTTTGCACAGTGCACAGCAGTTCAGAGACTGGATTCTCAGCTGCCAGATACTCTGCCTCTGGTGGTTGAAGCATAGGCAGGAACCCCACAGATGAAGAAGAAAGTCAGTGGGAAGATGGACAGAAAAACAGGGAACCCGCATGTCTGAGAGTCTGGTGCGGTGTGAAGGCATGGGCATGAGAAAGGTATGTTTCAGATCATGATACAGGGGCCACAGGTGAACCCTGAGAAGGCAAATGGACCCAACTTTAAGGTCCTGCAAGAGCCCTACAGGACGCCACAGGGGTCAACCAGAATGCCAGTATGAGGCCCACTTTGGTACAGAAAGTGAAGCCACGGAGACCTGCCAGAAGAAATGGTCTGATGATTACAGCTGGTTAGCAGATGCTGCTAGTCAGTAGACAGGATGGACTTCTAGGTAGCACAGATCACCAGGGTGGGGTACGGTGGAATTCAAGGAGTGAGCAGGTCAAGAAGAGGCCAGTTCCACAGATAACTTCTAGACTTCTGATCTGTGCAGCTGGCTGGGTAGCAATGCTATTCTGCCTAACAAGGCCCAGAGGTTTGTAGGGAAAGTGATCAGCTCAATCCTGGGCATGGTGAGCATGACGAGGATTTGGGATATCCTGGGAGGTGTCCACCAGGCAGATGGACACACAGACCTGGGGCCTCCAGGAAAGGACAGAGCCAGAGAGCCCATATGTACATGACAATTTAAACCACAAGGGCATGTAGGATTCCAGAAAGACTAGGGAGGGACGAGGACAGAATCAGAGCCCTGAAGAACTAGATATTTAGGGGCTGGGGATTTAGCTCAGCGGCAAAAGCGCCTGCCTGGCAAGCGCAAGGTCGTGAGTTTGGTTCCCGGTACCAGAGAAAAAACAAAAAACAAAAAAACAAAAAACAACAAAAAAAAGAACTAGATATTTAAAAGACCAGAAATGCAGAGATGAGCACACAGTTGTCTCTGAGAGGCAGAAGGAAGACCAGAAGAGTATCGACCCCAGGAACCGGTGCAAATGCATTTAAGAATTCAGTTAAAGCCATTGTTTCTGTGAAGTCAGGGGAGACTCGGACCGCAGCATCTGTCAGACACGAGACACAGTGCAGTTTCAGAAGGGCGACGAGGGCAGAGGCTGGGCGTGAGGGAGGAAATGGTGGCGGAGTACACACAGCTCAGGACAGGGGAGCTGAAGGAGGATGTGTGGCCAGGAAGAGAAGATTTAAAACTGGAGTTTGGGCATGTTTTAAATGCTGATCAGAAGGCCAGAGCTGGGAGGAAGGAGACGAGCAGAACAGCAGTGGGAGAAGCTGACCCGCAGTGTGAAGTTCCAGGAAGCCAGCAGGTCTGTGCAGCCCTGCAGACAGCTCGTTTCTCTGGAGGCAAAGTTGTGCTGGTGAGACAAAGGATGAGGGGTGGAGATGATGGTTCACACTTTTTTTTTTTGGTGCTGGGAATCGAACTCAGGACCTTGCGCTTGCCAGGCAGGCACTTATGCCACTGAGCTACATCCCGGTGGCAGTGTGGAGATGATGAATCCACAAAATGGAGATGCTGCGCAGTACTGAGGGCTCACTTCAGGACACTGGTGCTCAGCGTGTGGCCACAGGCACGGAGGAGGTGTCGCCTACGGGATGTGTGACTAGGTACAACAGAAAACCCAAAGGGCAGAGGAGCTGAAGGGACGGGTGTGAGAGGTGGCCTGAGACCTACATTACCTGGAGAAAAGGGAGGGAGGACTGGCCGGGAGATCATCGGGGAACAAGGTAAGACCAGTCCCAAGAAAGGAGGTGAACAGCTGCTGACAGAAAGGCTGCAGCTAGTGGACAGAATGTTTGAATTTAAGCCATTATCATTAAAAATCATTCATTAGATTACCTGAGCTACTTACTTTGTGCATGAATCACTAATACATTAAAGAGATCAGGGTTAAGCACTCAGACACAAGAAAAAGACCCACAACCCTGAGGGAAAGGTGGACGAGACCCCTACTTGGCTGGAGAGTCCTCCTCCAGGGCGCCCTGGGCCTCCTCCATCGCCGGGATCTCGTCCATCAGGCCAGTCAGCTCTGAGTCGCTGGAAAACAGTAAGAGCCTCTCCAGTCACTGTGACTTCACATCGGTGTTCTGAAAACACACTCACGTGCCTTCCCTGAAGGCACGTTCTTCAAGGAACTAGGTACACAAATAGTTATCCACAGCAAAATCAGGATAGGAAAACACAGTCTCAGTTGCTCATCCATATAAGTAATTTCCAAAAATGCTAAAGGTTCCTGAATAAAATTTCCATGATCTAACATGAAGAACAGACTCAAAGATCAGAAAAAATACTCAAAACTCTGATTATCCTGGGGATTTCAATTAGTAAAAGGAGCCACAAATATTCTCAAACTATTAGTGTTAAATGATTTGTTAAAAATAAAACTATACCACACCAAACTCTTAGAAAATGGTAGTAAGAGCCGGGCGTGGTGCCGCATGCCTGTAACCCCAGCACTTGAGAGGCTGAGGCAGGAGGATCATTGCGAGTTCGAGACCAGCCTGTGCTACAAAGTGAGCTCAAGACCAGCTTGAACTACGTAGCAAGACCCTGTCTCAAAAAGACCAAAAAAGAAAAAGAAAAGAAAATGGTAGTAAGGTAGAACTGGAACCCCAAAAAAACGAGCATGCATTATTACAAGAAACCCCTACTCCAGAAAACGATGGCTCTGAGACACTGATTGAAATACTCAAACACACAATACTTAGCAGAATAACTTGAAATTCAATTCACAAGATCTTAATTTTTTCCATTTTATATTAACATTAATTCTATTTGATAAGCCAGGTGAAGTGGCAGACAGACACTTGCAATCCCAGCACTCTGGGAGGCTGAGACAGGTTAGGATTGCAAGTTTGAGACCAGCCTGTGCAACTTAATGAGAGACTGTCTAAAAATTTTAAAAGGAGCTGGGGACATAGCTCAGTGCAAAGGTGCTGGGCTTAATTCCCCCCAGTACCACACAGAAAAAAAGAACACTACCAATGAGCAATGACAGCACATCACATGTTACATTTTAGTATTATTTTGTACATTTGTATTCTAGGAGGGCAATTTAAGAAAAGTTAAGCTTATGTAAAAAGCTTGTGCTTTTCAAAAGAAGAACATGGAAGGCCAGCCCTCCTCAAGCCTTCACCCTTGTAGAAAGCCAGCCCTGCACTGCTGGGCCTGCTCAGCCCTCCTCTTCCTCTGCAGACACCAGCAAGGACGGTAACAGCAGCATCAAAGACTGACCCTAGCCGGCCAAACCAGCAGTCACAGAGCAGGGGGCTGGGAAGACTCTGATGAACGTCTAATTAGAGCCTGGGTGAGACCAGCCACTGAGCATCCATCTGCAAATGATTTCAAAACATCAAGATGCAACATCAAGGAGCTACAGGAGCTGTGGGAGGTCACAGGGAAATATAAACGTGCAAGAATTTAAAGTTCTTCCGAGGCCTGTGTGAACATATAGGGCCCCACGTGGGGCATCAGCAAATCCATGGTTGGCTGCCACAAATTTGATAAACAGACCTTTAAAAAAGCAGTTTCAAATCTCAATGTGACACAGCAAATGTCTTTAAAAGTTACCTCCTGTTTTGATCCAAGGTCTTCCCACCAACCAACAACAACGAAAGTCACTAAACCAAAGCCCCAAATCAAGGACACACCAAGTAGAAAGAACCATACAGAGACATCATTTTCAAAAACCTAAAATCCAGAAATTTCCATTTAGTCACAGGCGCTCAGCAGGTACGTGCGTACTTACCTAGCGTCTTTTCCCGACCCCCAGGTGCGAACTCCACACCCACCCGTGCTGTCTTCAGGTCTGAATGCCCTGGAGGAAGAACGAATATTCCCTTAAACTGGAAATTGCTCTCCAAACTCCAAATCAGAAAAAGATCACGAAACTTGCCCCAAGATCGGCGTCCCAGGAAAAAACAGTATACTAATACAAAGTTAAATAAATATTAACACAGAGTAATAGATTCAGATCGTGTATTACCAAAATCTTAAAGCAAAAATAGCATTTACAAAGAAACTTACATTTTATCATTCCCACTGTATCTTTCAAAATCTCGCTTCCCTCTTGGGTCAAAAGTGTCGAAAGCTCTGTTTCCGGGCCCACCTCGGCCTCGGCCTCGAAGGCCCCCTCTTGGGCCTCCACGGCCTCTGGGCGCTCGGTCTCGATCAAACCTATCAACCGGCCTAGGAAGAGAGGGTACAATGAAAAGCTCTGAACTGGATTAAAGGTCCAAAGCCTTCTTGAGGGGAAAAAAAAAGTCCAGAAAGACAGTCATTACAGCTCTAGTACACTGCAAAGAGTGGTGGCTTGAACAACAAAGAAACAGAAGCAGGGTAGGTAGATGACTCGTCTGAGGTCACACAGTTACTAAGCAGGGAACGAGCTTGGGTTCTAGACAGGGATTATGCTGACCTGAGTGGACCTAGTTGCCCACTTATAAAGTGTGGACATTAACCAAAGACTATATGTAAGTTTCATTCCTGTCCCTAAAATGCAATCCTCAATTTGGAATGTCTCACATCACATATCAGCAGAAAGGTTAAACTTCAAGTTATGACCCCTCCCAAATCTTTCTCTCCCAAACACACAACTAGGTGGTGACCTTTGGGACTGAGAACATTAACCTGCTGCGACCTGACTTCCACCTCACAACTCCCCAAACTTCAAGGGCAGTGAAGGCCTCTGCTGACACTGACAGCAACTTCTGTCTTTCTGGCAACTGACCTCTACACACCATTTCACACCAATTTTCCTCTGACCTTTTGGGATGCTTTTTCCCTACCTGTCCTTAAAAAATTTCTTTTTGAAATAGTTAATACTCAAACACAGTACAAGATTGTGTTCCTTGGTCCCCCCAACCCGACTTCTCAGAGGTGGCCACTTCCGGATTGACGTGTAGGGAGCGGGTGTGTCTTGCCTCCTGCAGGGCACCAGGTCCCGCACTCTACAGAGCTTTCCGGGCTCTCCTGGTCCTCACCTGTGCCGCCCTTCCTGACCCTCCTCCCCTGCACTCGCTCTGCGGGCTCTACTCATCTCCCTGGCTGTGTCTCTCCTTCACAAACCCAGTTCCTTCCTGGACATCCTCACCTGGACAACCCTTGGCCTGGCAAGTACACGACCAACACTGACCCTTGTTCCTTCTGTGGCCCCCAGTGCATGACAGAGGGAGGAGCCAATCCACTCCTCCCTCCTCGTCCCCTGTCCATCCAGGGGCCAGGCCCAGGGTGTGACTGTCGCCCACTCTCCAGCTCTGTCTCTGGTCACCACCACTCTTCCAGAGAACATGCCTCTGTCCTACGAGACTCTTAGCTCCCAGAGAAAGAACCACATCTTGCTCATCATTTTAATCCTAGTTTAGTATGGTAATTAAAAAAAAATTGTTGAGGCTTCTAAAAACATTAAAGCAACAACAAATTACTTATTTAATAGCTGTCATGGCATCAAAAAATCAAGGGGCATTAGTAGCTCCAATTCTAGCACCAGAGGGATGTCCTAGCATACGTTCATCACTAAGCATGTTAATGAAAAAGCTACTACATGACAGTGGGTTAAAAAGATACAAAATTTGGGCTGGGGATAAAGCTCAGTGGCACAGCATGAAGTCCTGAGTTCAATTCCTGGTACCAGAAAAAAAAAAAGAAAAAGATACAAAACTTTACTCCAAAAGGTGAAGAACTATGGCCATACCACCCTGAACGCACCTGATCTCGTCAGAAGGCTGAAGAAAAGAAATACAAAAGTACTGATAATTAATTTTAAGTTCTCCAAGTTAGCTTTTCTGTCTCCCACCTCCCCTAACTAACCCAAACCATATGTTTAAATAAAAATATTTATAAAAAAGTCTACCCCAAAATTTAGATGAAATGGGGGAAAGGAAGTAAAAATTATAAAGATGAGATATATATCAATTTTCAAAACAAATTAATTGTTACATGCATCGCAAAGATATACTAAGAAAAAAGAAAAAAGATGAAAAACATGGAAAATGTCCATGAAAATCTGGTTTAATGTATAGAAATTTAGATCAACAAATTAGCAAATTCTTTTAAAATTCTGAAACCAAGCCTAAAAATAGCCCTGTGGGGCCAGGGATATAGTTCAGTGGCAGAGTACATGCCTGGCAAGCTCAAGGTGCTGAGTTCAATTCCTGGTACAAAAAAAAAAACAAAAAACAAAAAACAAATCCTGTGTGTTCTGGTACATTTCCAGCCTTGAAACCATTTTTCTTTATTCCACAACCTTTCTCTCCTAATTAAATACATTCGTGATACTTCTTTTTTCGTTGTTTTTTTGAGATAGGGTCTTGCTATGTAGTTTAGGCTGGTCTTGAACTTACTATGTAGCAGGCTAGGCTCAAAGTTGCACTGATCCTCCGGCCTCAGCTTTCCCAGGGCTGGGATTACAGGCATGTACCATCATGCCCAGTGCTCACAATCACTTTTTAATATCACTGTATTATAAAATGTATCTTCTTTTTATAAAGGTTGGTGAAGACTGAGCGCTCCTGTACTACGTTTAGGAAGATTTGAGACAAACTCACAAGCAAAATGAAGGAAAACACATTTGAACTGAGCATTGCTGTGTGTACCCACACTTCACGGTCTTGCAACAATCCTACAGCTAGGGTTTGGATTGGGAAGGTCTCTCAAGAGTCCCATGTATCAAACTCGGTCCCCAGCCCACAGCGCTATCGGGAGGCAGTGGAATCTAAGGATTGGGACCTAGTGGGAGGTTCTGGGTCACTGGGGTACACGTTTGAGGGCGTTGTGGGACCCTGGTCTCTGAAAAGCCTTCCTCTACCACGCACTGCAGCGGGATGGGCGGCCTCGCTCAAGTCCAAAAGCCACAGGGTCACTGGGCCTCCAGGGCTGTGAGCCAAAACAAACCTTTCCTCCCGTACGCTGATTACCTCTGGGGTTCTGATCCAGTAAGGAAAAGCTGACAAGGAAACACAAGCACCTGCTCTACAGGTAGAGGCTGAAGCTCACAGAGGGTGAATGAGAAATTACTCTTTAGTGGGAACAGTTTCAGTCTGGGAAGAAAAAAATTCTGGAGGTAGATGGCAGAGATGGCTGTACAATAGCGTGCATGTGCTGAATGCCACAGAACAGCACGCTTAGAAATGATTAAAATGGTGAAATTATGGTATACACTGTATTATTATGCCACAACTTTTTTCTTCATTTGGGGGAGTCAAACATTTAGGCAAGCAATTCCTTTCTGTTACTGACTTCAAATGATCAGCAAAGAAGTATAAAAAGTAAGAGCCAAAGTGAACCCAGACTAATTTCTTAATGTTCTAGGATCTGAGGGTTCATGCCAGTTCATCTGGAGCCTAAGGAAAAATTCCCACTGCGCTGACAACAATAGTTGCAGGTATGGCACAGCCCATGTGGCGCAGCTGACGTCTGCAGCTCAGACACTGGTGTCCAGCCCAGCACCAAATGGGCTCTGCTTTTAGAGGAAAACATGTCAGGCCTGGGTGGAGCGACAATCCTGGCCAGCTAGCTGCGACCAGAGTTCAGACTGCTGACCTTGCTGCATCTGTTTAGATGATCTTTCAAGATAACCAACAGTCTACAATTCTGTTCAACAAACATGTACCAAAGAAATTTAAGGTACTATCATTTTTCAGTCAAATAAGCAAAAACTGAACTTTGACTTACTACATGCAAATCTGGAGAAAATGTGCTGAAAAATGTCCTTAAAGATAGTGATAAAAGCAAAGGACAGGTGCCACCATTGCGACTTATCACTGCCTCAGCTTTCTCCACCCCAGTTTTTGCTTTCACACTACATGCACCCCTCCGACCGTGCACAAAGGCACAGAGCTTTGGATCTGGGCACAGACATCTGCCTGGAACCACTGCTGTATGGGTCTAACTGCACTTCCACTCCCGGGACGCCACCTAGGAGATGCCATCAGGTACCAAAAGCTGCTCACTGGGTTATCGTTGATTAAAAAAAACTGGGGGCTGAGCAAAGGTCCAACATTAAGGGAGCGGTTACATCATGATACATCCAAAGAAAAGATCATAATGGAGCCATTAAAAGTGCTGACCAAACTTTGTTAATGACATGGAAAAGGTTTATGCCGCATGAGGAGAAAAAGAAAGAATATAAAAACTTAATAATGTGTGTTATCATCTGGTAAAAGTAGATCAACACGTTAAAAAAAAAAAGAGAACATGCTGTAACATTAAGAATAATCAGATGGCAAGACCGGTAGTTTCACCAGGTGTGGTGGCGCCTGCCTGAAATCCCAGTGCTTAGGAGGCTGAGGCAGGAGGATTGCTATGAGTTTGAGGCCAACTTGGGCTATGTAGTGAGTTTGAGGCCAGCATGGACTACATGAAGAGTCCTATCTCTAAATAAATAAATAAATGAATGAATGAATAAATAAAAATTTGTTAAGAGACTGGTAGTTTTATAGTGAGTTTGAGGACAGCCTGGACTACATAGTGTGACCCTGTCTATAAACAAACAAATGAAAAATTTTTAAAGATTGGTAGTTTTACCTTTCTTCATAATTTTATACATTTGCCAAACTGTCTATACTGACTATTTCTTTAGATATCTTATGAACTTTTACTACCAGAAGAGTATTTGGTAAGAAACCAAAGAAAATAACTTCTGATGTCACAGGACTTATTTAAAAATTCAAATTTCCTTGAAAGTAAGAATCCCTGAGCTGGGCATGGTACTGCACACCGTAATCTCAGCACTCAGGAGGCTGAGGCAGGAGGACTGTCCACAGTTCCAGGTGAGTCTAGGTTACATAGTGAGTTCAAGGCCAGCCTGAACTACATAGCGAGACCCTGCCTCAAAACACAAAACAAAAAACTAAAACAAAACAAAAAAGAATTGCCTACTTATACCCAATACAGTGCACTGAGAAGCATACCCTGCTTTCTTGGTGTTCCTGTTGAAGTGCAGAGCCTCACTCCATGAAGACACGTCAGATACGCTCAAATTCTGGGCTGTGAAAAATGCCCTTAAAGATAGTGATAAAGCAAGGACAGGTACCAGAGGTACAAGGGATAACTGGTCCCCTCTTTATAAATGTCAAATGCATGAAGAAAAAGGAAGACCGAGGAGCTACTCCAGATTACAGAAGACAACATATAGTGCACATTCCTGGACTGGATCCTGATCAAGAAAGATTTTTTCTTTTGCTAGAAGGATATCATTAGGACAACTGGTGAAATGTAAGCCAACATGCAGATTATATAACTTATACAATTAGATCATGGTATTGTATTGATGTTAATGAGTTCGATCACTGTACCATGTTTTTAGGAACTACATATAAAGTATTTAGGGACAGAGGGACATTTGTAGGCCTTACTCTTAAATGACAAGAGTCTTGAATCAGTTAAATAAAATCAAAACTAGATCCTTAGGCTAAAAATAGCTCTCTAGTCTAGAACTTCAAAGAAATTTTAACCCGTCCTGTGTAGCTTTTTTATGAGTGCTTTTAAGTTACCAAACACTTTTGTTTTGTAGTGCGGGGGGATGGAGTCCAGGGCCCCACGCACACTGTACAAGCCTCGCCCTGAGCCGCACCCCCACCTCAATTTGTTTTGAATCATTTCCTATACCAGGACATAAGGTTAACTATTAGATAATGTGGTTCCTTCCTATGTCACCTAAGTATGGGATTTGCCACCACTCCTAGGCCTGTGCTCTGGCAGATCAGAAGGGCCACTTACTGCAAAGCCTTTGGGACTTCACTCTCTCTAAGGATGGCAGTACATACTTTTCATCGGTGTACTTCTCGGCTGTGAAGTCTGCCTGCCGCTCCGTCTCATAGGGTCGATATTCCCTGTAGGATCGCCGCTCTGTTTTGTCCAGTGTAATGTCTGTCCCCCGGCTGTCGTTCCATCCTTGTACCTCCTCTCTTCTAGGAGTGCGTCCCTGGCCTGCTGGCAGAAACAAAGCAGAGAGCTGGACAACAGCGGTGTGAAACTTCACAGGTACTTCTAAGTTTCAATTTCCTAGATCACTGGAAAATCTGAGAAGTCGAGGCAAATTTCAGAGAGCAAAAAAGTTGTGGCTACAACTACCTAGAGTTTACCACTTTTTTTTTTTCTTTTTTTGGTCTTTTTGAGACAGGGTCTCACTGTGCAGTTCAGGCTGGCCTGGAGCTCACTTTGTAGCCCAGACTGGTCTTGAACTCACAACGATCCTCCTGCCTCAGCCTCCCGAGTGCTGGGATTACAGGCATGCGCCACCACGCCCAGCGAGTTTACCACTTTTTATTAGTAAAACTTTACTATTAAATCCCTCTTTCTGAAATGTCCTAGAAAGTATAATAAGATTTTAAAACAGGGGCTGAGGATTTAGCTCAGTGGCACAAGCGACTTCCTAGAAAGCACAAGGTCCTGAGTTTGATCCCCGGTACCACACAAAAAATAAATAAATAAATAAAACATATAAGCTACGCTACAATTACAGGTATCTTGAAGTAACTCTATAACAGCTATGGATATATTTTGCTAAATAAGTTATTTTTCACGGAGGCAACTTAACCAATATGGTTATAAATCCTCTTCAGAAAATTAAAGGAGAAATTCTCTGCATTTCAGATTATACTTTCATGATCCCAACTGCACATAAAGGCCTACGGTTATGCACTGGCTACTAAAGTTTTCATTTCGAAATAGCTTGTAGTGCACATCTTTATTTTAGAAACAGATTTTCTTGCTCTTTGATGAGATTTACATACTAGGTATCATACTTTTGAAGTATGAGCCCAACTTGGTACATTCCAACTCACTCCAGAGCCAGTCAATACTCAGGCCTCATCTCTTTCATCCACTGAGACTTTTGTACCCAGTAGAGGCAAGGACAGGGTGCTGGGGCTACCCTAGTCTTTCCCTCTCTCCCTTCTCCTTTGCTACTCCCATCTAATTTTGATGCTTTAAATTTTTAAATCTATACTTAAAGTTAACACTGGGTATTGTGTGAAGAACTTTGTCACTTCTTTTTTTTTTTTTTGGTTTTTTGGTTTTTCTCCGGTACCGGGAACTGAACTCACGACCTTGCGCTTGCCAGGCAGGCGCTTTTGCCGCTGAGCTAAATCCCCAGCCCCGTGTCACTTCTTAAATCATCTCCTAAAAATGTCATGGAACCCAGGGCCTTTGTACTGAGCTATATCCCCAGCCTGTTTTTTATTTTGAGACAGGGTCCAAGCTAAATTGCCCAGGCTGGGCTTAAACTGAGATTCTTTTGCCTCAGCCTGCCAGAGTGCTGGGATTACAGGTATGCACCACCATTCTCTGCTTGTTTCAATATCTCTTGATACAAATTATTCTTCACGTTGGCTGTATAGCTAAAAAAATATTAAATTTATTCATGTCAATGGGTATGTTTAAATTGCTTGATTCCTCTCTCTCAGACACACACTATGACTTTTAATATATGTATATTTCTACTTTACATATATATTGTGGTTTTTTTATTTTGTTTTTTTCCGGTACCGGGAATTTAACTCATGACCTTGCGCTTGCCAGGCAGGCGCTGTGCCGCTGAGCTAAATCCCCAGCCCCTTGTTTCATTTTTTGAGACAGGGTCTCGCTGTGTAGTAAAGGCTGCCCTTGAACTCACTTATGTACCCAGGCTGGCTCTAAACTCATGGTGATCCTCCTAACTCTGCCTCCTAACTGCTGGATTAGCCAGGCGTGGTGATGCATGTCTGTTATCCCAGCACTCAGGAGGCTGAGGCAGGAGGATGGTTGCAAGTTTGAGGCCAGCCTAGGCTATATAGTTAGTTCAGGGGCAGCCTGAACTATACAGCAAGACCCTGTCTCAAAAAAAAAACAAAAAAAAAACAAAAAAACTGTGTAACTTATTACCTTTAACATGAATTGTCTCCTTTAGTGTGAAATTAAAACTTGGACAACAGACTTAAGATCAATTTTCTATGATCTTTAATATCCTATACCCTAGAAATACCTAAGTCCAACGTGCATCCATCCTAGAGTGAGGTCACAATCCATGCTTGTGACACGGTTAGGGCACGGGAAAGATGCCATCATATAAAAGTACTATGCTTTTACTGTGGAAACATTACCAGAAGACCAAAACTGGAAGAGGCTTTTGCAATATAAGGCAGAAAAATGCCAGTTTGAAAACTAACTACCTAATAAATACAAAATTATTAACAGACCATAACATAAGTTATCAGGACATTTGTCAGAAGTAACAATGCTTTTCAATACTTTTCTGTGTGGAAAGCTGTTTCAGAACAGCACAAAAGTTCCTATCTGCAAGTTTTTAAACACTTAGGGGCTGGGGATTTAGCTCAATGGCACAGCGCCTGCCTGGCAAGCTCAAGGTTGTGAGTTCAATTCCCGGTACCGGAAAAAAAAAACCAAAGGGGGATAAAAAACGTTTTTAAACACTTTTAATATCTCCATTCAACTACAGAATTACTCATCTTGCCTTCTTTCTGCAGCCTCTTATCTTTTAACTCTATCAATTAAATTTGAAATTCACCATCCAAAACCTAAACTATGACATTTATTACACACTTTGTAGTAAAGTCTCTTCCAGAGTTTCTGGGTATAAACTGAAAACTGGTAAAGACAATTGGCTACTTATTAGGATAATCATGAATACCCAGCAAACACTTCAGCGTTTCTCTAAAACGCCCCAAAACAAAGGTAATGAGTGACTGATGTTTCCCCGCAACATTTAGTTCTAAAGATCGAGGCTGCAACTGAACCTGGCTTGTTCTGCGCTGGGTCAGCAGCTCCTAGTAGCAGTTCAGATGCTGCATCTCATCAGCCCTTTCCAATAAAAGGCTGGCACATGCAGCTCGATCGTATTATCTAAACCAAGCCCACAGAAGAAACAAAACACAACAAAATTTACAGCAAGGTTTCCTATTTTTTAAAAAAAAAAAGTTGAGCTTTAGCTCAAAGACCTTAGTTCTGAAAAGCCAGAAGCAAAGTTGAAACAGTGTCTGGTAATTCAAGAATGAATTTATCGGGCAAGGCTCACCGAAAAGGTCTGTGTGTAACAGTAGACACAAGTTCAGGACATTCAAAACCTACATTTTCATGGAGAAATCTTGCCATTTCCACGTTTTGGGGGGGCTAATAAATGTTTTTAAATCTCACATTTGAGATTTATCTACACTAAGCTTTCGTGTACAACATTCAAATTAAAGATTTTGAGTGCAGACCAGTACAATCCGTACCAATTAGCGCTCACAAAACCTTGAGAGGTGTTCCCTAATTCCCTCCCATCATGATAAATTTAGTACAGTAACTACATGGATGGGAATTAATGAGACTTTTGCTCCTGAAACTGCGCATACTTGAAAAGGAGCTACAATAATAAAATTTCTAACTCCAAAAATTAACTACAGATCTTTAACATACATCTCATGAGCTTGATTGCCGCGAACTGATGGACACACTACAAGCATACTAGACTGCAATGTGGAGTGAGAGGAGTAGGCTGCACCCCAGTTTCTATCATTTGTTTAGGAAGAGAAACAGCACTATACACTCATGTATATAAATTTATGAATATAAGTGCAGTGCCTACACGAGGAAAATTAGGGGGTCTTTGCTTAACATATATTTTGAGATTTTTTAGTTTTCTTAACAAAAACACATTTTTAAAAGGCTAAAAATCAGATTAACACCCCTAGCTTCAGTCTCACACTGTCCTAAAGTAGTCTATTTTCGTTTGTTAAAAAATAAGTGGCAAAAATATAAGTGGAGATGCAGTTGAGCCCTCCTCAATGCTTCTATACCCACTGTATTTATCTACGTTTAAGAGAAAAACACAACCGTATTCAAGTGTTCTCACCTACTGCTTAAACAGGGCCATACAGCTACTGGGATATCGAATAACTTTTTTAAAAAACAAATAATTTCCAACATCTTTACGTTCTGACTCTCAAGCGACGTCTCTGGACTTTTCATAAAGGTAAACATTACCTAAAGTCAAAGCCCCAAGGGAAATCAGGGGGCGTTCTCTTGGGGTCGGAATGCAGAGTTTTCAATCAGGCCAGAAACAAGGCACTGCAGGCCACCGGCTATCCCGCCAGCGCTGGCCTGAGCGGCCACGCTGCACACCCTAGCCGGGGTCCTCCTCCTGCCATCCTGGGCCGCTCCCCAGGGTGTGCGCTGACCTCCTTGCTAAGGGGGGCGGGAGACCGCGCACGCTCTGCGTGGAAGGTCAGCCAGCTTTCCTACAGCGTCTCGAGTGAATCCCAAGTCGCACACCCGTCCACACAGCACGCTGCCCTGGCAGTTGAGGTGTGGGGTGCAGGGGAGGGCACAGGGCCTGATGACACAGGCGGCCCCCCTCCGTCCTCCACTGGGTCCGCGATCGCCTCCCGACCGCGGAGGCCGGAGGGCGGACAGAGAAGGCTCTTGCTGGGTCCGCACGACCCCAGGCTTCGTACCAGCGACCTCCCTCCACTCTGCCCAACTCGGGTCCCGCACGCCGGAAGGGCCTGCGGACCCCCGGGTGGACCCCGGCCCCAGGGGATCGCCCCACCGTCCGGAAGTGCGGCCCGGCAGGGTGACCTCCGTACCCTGCTGTGGCGGTGGCGGTGGCAGGGCCCCCCCGGGGCTCGCGGGACCCTTGCGCTCCTTGCGGGACCCCTTGCGGCCGCCTGCGCCGGGCTTGGGCCCCGGGGCCGCGGCTCCCGCCTCGTCGCGCTTCCTGCGCGGCAGCTGCAGCTGGCGCCGGCGCTCGGCCTCGCGCAGGACGTCGAACGGATCCGACTCGTCGTCCAGCAGCTGGTGAAAGCGGTTGGCAACGACGCAGCCGAAGGTCTCCTGCATGGTGGCGCCGGCCGGGCCGCCCTTCATGCTCGGCGCGGCACCGCAAGCCGGCCGGGCGCCCACGGGAGCGCGCCTCAGCGGAGACAGCGGCGTGAGCCCATCCCGCCCGCCGCAGCAGCTCCCGGCCCCGCGCCTACCGGCCCCGCCCCCACCGCGCCAGGGCCAATCATAGCGCGCGAACACTCCCCTTTCCGGGCTGGTGCGCCGGGATGTCCAATCACCTGCAGGCGGCTGTTGCGTCACGCGGTCTCGTGTCCCTCCCCTACGGCGCACCGGGAGGGCGGGGCCAGGGCGGAGCCAGTGCCCCTAGCTGTAGTCGCGTGGTCCGTGCTGCGCGTGGTCTCGGCTGTGCGCGGTCCTGGCTGTGAGGCCGGACCCTGTCGGGCTGCGGTCGGCCACCCACACTTTGAGCGCTGTGTGCCCGGCGCCATGTGTTCCTGTGGGTTCTGTGCTCGCCCACGAAGCCGGACCCGACCGACTCGCGAAGCTCGGAAAGGACCGAGAGAAAAAGAGAAAGCGCAGCCCGCGAGCTCAGGAGCGGGGGTAACAGGAATGCCAAGAGTTGGGCATTCCAGCTTTTCGTTCGTCCTTATTCTAGCAGACGGAACTAGGCTTAAGCATGAGCAGATTTGTGTTTAAAAGGGCTGTTGTGAAGAAATAGTTTTTTGGGGGGGCTCAGCAATGGATGCAGGGAGCCGGGCGTGGTGGTGCATGCCTGCAACCCCAGCACTCTGGGAGGCTGAGGCAGTAAGATCTGTAGTTGGAGCTCAGCCTTAGCCACTTGGCGAGACCCTGTCTCCAAAATTTAAAAAGGGCTGAGGATGCAGGTCAGTGTGAAGATCCTGGATTCAATCCCTAATACCAGTAAATAAAGAGAAAGCAAGTAGAGAGCCCAAGCAGCACAAGGTTGTAGAAATCTAGGAAGGAACCCATGATTGTAAGCAGCACTTGGCAGGGTACTAGGATCATCTGTATGGGTGCTACGGTGGATTAGCGAACGGTCAACTTGTAACACCCAGCTGAAGTGAATCAGTGTGGTTCTGGGAATATAAAGCCCACCTGAGCATTGTTGCCAACAGTGTAAAAGGAGAACTGGAGGGGAAGGTGGTGTGCTGTTGATCCTCCTGGAGAAGCTTGTCACACTGGTTTTCCTGGTACCAATTCAGCTGTTCTCATTGTAGGAGCTCAGGTCCTAGCTGTCACTGAGGATGGCTGCACTTCTATTACAGGGAGCTCTAGTCCTTACCTTGAGCATTGCTTCCTGGCTCCGGTGCAGATCTTTCGGCCTGGTGGCACAGATCCTTCATCCTGCTGGCTCAGACTTTTCATTTCCACCACTGGCCTTCCAGCCTTCCAGGTGCAGATCCTTGATGCAGACTTGCATGAGACATTGTGGTGGCCTCTAGGCCTCCAGCTGGACTCGTGCAGAACGTTGCCATGGGATCTAGGCCCTCAGCCAGATTTTTTGGTCTCTAGTATGTGGACAGATCTGTTGCACTTTTCCGTGCTTGATTTTTTTGGGTGACTATTATAAAATAATTATAAATTATGTGTCCTGTATTAAATACATTCTCTTGTAAACCCTGACTCCAATAGTTGATGAGGAATGAATAGGGTGTGAAAACCCATTATTTTTCTGGTTTGGGGATCTAAGAATGGGAGTGCTAGCCACCAAGAGATGGAACCTTGGAAGAGACCACTTTGACGACAACATGAGTTTTACCTTGGACATGTTGAGGGTTGGGTTTGGGTTGTTTTTGGTTGTTTTTTTTTTTTTTTTTTTTTTTTTTTTGAGGCCTGGAGCTCAGGGGGGACTTTCTCCTGCAAATCCTGCTCTGGCCCTTGTGGAGGCGCTCTGGGCTGCCCATCCTATAGTCAAGGAAATTTTTTTGTTTTACTTAGGGGTTGGGTGCTGTCGGCCACAGAGTAGGTGGAGCCCCTTCCAGCGAAGTCATTTATTGCATTCCATCCCCTTGCCAGGAATTGCCGAGGAGTAGGCTGTGTGGCACACCTGGCAGAACAGGCTGGAGGGGAAGCATTCCGGGGAAGTTCTTCTTGCTCCTCAGAGGGGACTGAGAAGGAATCTCCACCCTCTCCCTCCTTTCAGTGCTTTGGTTCTTGTTATGTGAGAACTTGATGCCTGGTGTTGCTGTCCCTTACTGTGACCATAAGGACAGAGAAAGCCTAGCTCTGTGATGAGCTGCATCCCTACCTCAGATGTATTATTATACGAGGCGACAAAAGCCATTATTGCTTAAGCTACCCTCAGTTGTGTTGGTTCCTCCCACCCAGAGGTATCCTGTTAGAACATCTTGTTTAAGTACCTCATGACCAGCTTTGACTTTCCTTCAGTGTTTTCAAATGAAAAAGGAATTCTTAATCCTCAGGGGTGTAAGATCTTCATTTTGCTCCCTGACTCAACTTTTCTGTCACTCCTGAGGAGGTCAGGGATGATTTCTGTCTCTTCCCAGGGCTTGGTGTTCAGGCAGCCAGCTGTAAAGAAGGTTCTCAGTAAATATCTGTTTAGTGACCAACGAGTTTTGGGTACAGTAAGTTCCCCGATTTACAAACATCTGAGTTGCGAACTTTCAGAGGGATGCTGTATAAGAGTCACAGGTATACTGTGTACGACTCATTCTGTTGGATTATGAAAGAATATAAATGTTCTCCTGGAGTGAAACTGATTCCTAGGTTGGGACCTTACTGTATTGTATTTGATCATTTCCTTCTTTAAATCAACGGAGATTAATGTGTATACTTTCTGTCCTCCCAAAATGGAAAACAGGTATTTGAACAAAAAATTGTACTGTCCACAAAGATGCTATTTACAATAGCTAAAAGGTTGAAACAGTTCCAGTGTATCCTAACTGATGAATGAATAAGATGTGATACAGCAGATCATTATTTGGCCTTCAAAAGGAATGAAGTATTGACATACACTACAACATAGACGAACCATTGTGCTAAGTGGGAGAAGCCAGAGGCAGAAGGCCATATGTGATCTGATTCTGTTCACATGGAGTGTCTGGAATTGGCAATTCCATAGGAGACAGCACCTTAGCACAGGGTTGGGGTAGGGTAGGGGCTGTTGGAGAGAACTCAACAGGTATGGGGTTTCTTTTGGAATAGTGAAAATGTTCTAGATGTAGGGGTAATTACACAAAATTGTGAATTTAGGTTAGGGTTATACCAAGATTTGAGTCCTGACTTTGCCACTTGTTGACTTTCTGAACTTAGACATGCTCCTTATTGCTGTGCCTCAGTCTATAAGATGGAGACAACAAGGTCCCTAGCTCTGAGGGTTACCATGAGGGCTGAATAAGGTAATGCGTAGGAACTGTTTGGCACGGTATGTGCCCTAGTGTAAATCCTGAATCAAAATCATTGTGATTCTCAGTGTTATTAGTGCCATCACCATCATCATCATCTGGGATCGGGCCTAACACACAGTAGACTCATGTTTTGACACTTCTAAAGATTGTTTTATACCCCAGCATCTCTTTATGCTGCAGATACCACACTTTGAGAAGCAACCTTCAAGCTAGTATTGTTTTGAGCATCTTTAAGCTGCCTGTCACCAAACTACAACATCATGAAAACATTTGCCCTTGAGAGACGACCCCTTTTCCCACTGGACGTCTGGAGTCAGCTGCTTCCTCTTCCCAGCATAGCCAACCACTGTCAGTTCTGAAGGCACATCTGTGAACACAGTATGCCCCAAACAGTTGTGAGCCAATTCTGCTTGCTCCTGCATAGAACCACGGAAGCAGAAGTGAGTAGTCTCTACCTGGAGTTACCTGGCCATAGGTTTCTGAAGGAGCTGATGATACTGCAGGCCTTACAGTAACATTGAAAGCAGCCTATTCTCACTGACCATGTTCCTGCTGAGAGATTTGCAGCCTGAAATGCATTCCTGACATACAACGCTACCACATTAGCATGAGTTATTTGAAACACTGTGTTTAATGTGGTCAGCTTAATAGACTAATTTAATAATCCAAGACATGAAAACATCATTCAGTGATAATACCAAACAGAAACATATACATCCAAGTAGTGTAGAAAAACAAACTACCCCATAAAGGCAATGAAGTGTGGATGCTGAATAAAACCATTGGTTGTTATATCTAAGGTCCACTGATTGTTTGCTTCCATTAGTGGAAAAGCAGCAAAGTTTAACTGCATACAAAACGTAATTACTTTGAGTTAATAGAGGAGTTCCATGAGCAATAATATAAAATACACTGTAATCTTCCAGATTGACTTGAAATTCACAGAACAAATCAACAGAGAGTTTAACAACATGTAGCTGTATTACTTCCAGCTGCGTGCAGAGAGAAACACCTGGGTAAAGGCCAAACAAGGTGCCAGGCCTCTTCTTCACCTTTCATTAAATATTTGCTGTTTGGATGAATGCATTTCTCGCTCACATAGAGGTGTTTGTCACAAATAATTCTGCATGTGCTAAAAATAAAGTAAAAATGCAACAAATTAATAGGTGAGAGGCTGAGAAATATGATCAAATGAGTTCATTAATAAGCACAACTGTCATGTGGTGCTTATGAAGTGCCAGCCATCGTTCAGTGCATTTGTTATCTGTTCATTTAATCCTTACGGCAGCCTAATAATGCAGATGATTTTCCTGCCCCGAGTTCCCCGGGGCCTGAGTGCCACTGTGAGCAGGATGGCTGGCGTCATGGCTGTGGGCAACCTGCCTTGCCTTATGCTCTCCTGACATACATTACTGCTAAGCACTGCACTCAAAGCACAGATTTGAGCAGGACATAATCTCTTTCCTTCAAGACTGGTGGAAGCAAGAGATAAACATTATTACGTAAGGCACTAATTCTCACAAGAGTCCTGAAGTGTGTGGATTCATTATTACTTTAAAATTCTATGCTGGAATATTTACTGAGGCTCCAGTGGGAGGCTGTGATGTCCTCAGATCCTTCAAAACATGGCATTGCAGGATGAAAGCTATACTATGTCCATGCGCTAAGTCTGGACTGAGATGTTGAAATAGGACTGCTCTTCTGCTTATACTTTAGAATGTGTTCAAAATAAGCAAACACCTCTGTTCTCTTAAGGATGGTCTGTGGACCACAGCTTCTACTTCCCCTGAGAGCTTGTTAGAAATGC